CATTGATCAATTTTTATACCCAATATCAAAAAATATATATATATATATATTTTTCCCGAATGCGTAGCGAGGGTTCCCGTTTCACTCTGGGGGTCTGGGGGTTGAGGGTGTGTTCGCTCGACGTTGCGTTCGCGAGCGCAACCGTCCGCAACCGTCCGCGCGAGGACCATATGGCCGTGCCTATGGTAAGTTCTGCAGAGGTGGTCATTTTTGGAGGTTTCAGACGTGTCGTTGCTTCGTTTCGCGTGGCAGGCGTGGCACTTCGTGACATTTAGACGTGTTCTGGAACGTGTCGAAAGTCGTTTTGCGTGGCAGGCCCAATACTTTTGTGACGTTTTCCGAAGATGTGTTGCAGTTTTCGTGGCAGGTGCAGCACTTTGGACGTGTCCATCGCCATTTTTCGTGGCAGGCGCAGCACTTTAGACGTGTCATGTTGCGTGTTTTTTGCAAATCGCATTGGCAGGGCTGCGTCAAGTGGTGACAAGGTGCAAATTCCGTGGCAGGCGTGGCATTTTCTGACATGTGCTGAAAATTGACGGAAGCCTCGCACGAAACATCGATTTTGATGTTGCCAATTTTCGGGTTCTAAGGAAAACTCGTAGGAAAACGTCGATTTTGAAGCTACAAAGTGTGAAATTTGGAGGAAGTCTCGCACGAAATGTTCGTTTTGGTGCTCCCACCTGTCTCTTCTCGCGTGTCTGGTTTTCCCGTGGCCTCGCCGTGTCTATGGGGGAAGCTGCAAAACTTGTCTTTTTATCTTGTCGGCAACTGTGAAAATTGCCGGAAGTCTCGCACAAAATGCTAGTTTTTCTGTATCCACGTGTCTTGTCTTGCGGCGCTTGTGTTTCTGTGGCGTCGCCGTGTCCATGGGGGAAGCTGGAAAACCTCTCCTTTTCGAATGTTTCCAAGCAGGTTGTCATGTTGTTTTGCGTGGCAGACGTGGCACTTTTTGACATTCCAACCTGTTTGATAATGTGTCGCAAATGTCACAATTGGAGGAAGTCTCGCACGAAATGCTGTTTTTTCTGCATCCACGTGTCTTGTCTGTGTGTCGCTGGTTTTCCTGTGGCGTCGTCGTGTCTATGGGGGAAGCTGGAAAACCTCTCCTATCCAAGCAGGTTGTCATGCCGTTTTGCGTGGCAGGCGTGGCACTTTGTGACATTCCAAGCTGTTTGATAACGTGTTGAAAATGTCAAAATTGGAGGAAGTCTCGCACGAAATGCTCGTTTTTCTGCATCCATGCGTCTCGTCTCGAGTCTCTGGTTTTTCCTGTGGCGTCATCGTGTCTATGGGGGAAGCCGCAAAATCTTTCCTTTTCGAAGGTTTCCAAGCAGGTTGTCATGTCGTTTTGCGTGGCAGGCGTGGCGCTTTCCTCACTCCACACTCCACACTTTACACTCCTCACTTACCCTCCACACTCCACACTCTACACACCACACTCTACACTTTCCATTCCAGACTCCACACTCTACACTTTACGCTCCACACTCCACACTTTACACTCCTCACTCCACACTTTACACTCCACACTACACACTTTACACTCCTCACCCCACACCCCACACTTTACACTCCTCACTCCTCACTCCACACTTTACACTCCACACTTCACACCCCACACTTTCCACTCAACACTCCACACTCCACACTTTACACTCCACACTCCACACTTTACACTCCTCACTCCACACTTTACACTCCTCACTCCACACTTTACACTCCACACTTTACACTCCACACTCCACACTCTACACACCGCACTCTACACTTTCCACTCCAAACTCCACACTCTATTTACGCTCCACACTCCACACTTTACACTCCACACTTTACGCTCCACACTCCACACCCCACACTTTACACTCCTCACTCCACACTCCACACTTTACACTCCACACTCCACACTCTCCTCACTCCACACTTTACACTCCTCATTCCACACTTTACACTCCACACTTCACACTCCACACTTTCCACTCAACACTCCACACTCCACACTTTACACTCCACACTCCACACTTTACACTCCTCACTCCACACTTTACACTCTCACTCCACACTTTACACTCCACACTCCACACTCTACACTTTACACTCTACACTATACACTCTACACTCCACACTTTACACTTTACACTCCACGATTTCCATTTACACTCCTCACTTCACACTTTACACTCCACACTTTACACTCCACACTCCACACTCTACACTTTACACTCCACACTCCACACTCTACACTCCACACTTTACACTCCACACTCCACACTCTACACACCACACTCTACACTTTCCACTCCTCACTCCACACTTTACACTCCACACTTTACACTCCTCACTACATTCCACACTCCTCACTCCACACTTTACACTCCAAACTCCACACTCCACACTTTGCACTTTACACTCCTCACTCCACACTCTACACTTTACACTCCACACTCCACACTCTACACTCCACACTCTACACTTTACACTCCATACTCCACACTCTACACTTTACACTCCACACTCCGCACTTTGCACTTTACACTCCTCACTCCACACTCTACACTCTACACTCCACACTCCACACTCTACACTCCACACTCTACACTTTACACTCCGTACTCCGCGCTCTACACTTTACACTCCGCATTCTACACTTTACACATTCTGCACTCCCCACTCCTCACTTTACACTCCACACTCCTTACTTCACACTCCACACTCCACACTCTACACTTTCCACTCCACACTGCAGACTGGTAACAAGGGAAACATGTACAAGACTGTTCAAATAATCTATTGCAGAAAGGTATTGTGCGTCACTGCATAACCATGTGTTTTGATACTGTACCATTAACATACGTGTGAGCATTCGGGTTCGTGGGCTTCATCTTGTTTTTCTGGTGGTGTTGATACTATCAATCAAAACATTTCAATTAATACAATTATTTAAGGGCAGTAATGTATATATTATATACATACTATATATAATACATATTTCGATCACTCAGAATCAGGGCTTTGTTTGAATCGGGGGTTGACGTTGTGGCAATTAAGTGGGGATGACCATTGGGAGGCCACTAATTAAAAGGGGACACATATTTGGCGCCAAGGCCGCTAAGGTAGTTTCGACAAGACTTGGTTGGACAATGCTTGGGGATGATGATTCGTTCCTGCATATCTGAAAACCATGGAAAACCTATCCCTGCAATCCTTGCGTTTCCTGGGGAATCCCAGTTCATGGATTGTACAAGCCCCGAACTAATCATCAAGCAACCACAGTTTTTGAAACTGCTCAGATGGTGCTCTGTGGAGTCTGGATCACTGGGCCTGAGGTTTCACTGTCTCTGCCAATTCTCTGAAGACATCCACGTTGAAGGACTTCACCTGTGAAAAGTCTGGTCATGGAGCCGGTGCTAAGATCACTGGAGCACCTGCAAAAACTGCAGAGTTGCCATGCCTGCGAAAGCATGCGAGCTTGTCCTTTTCCATCCTGCAACTGTCGGCACAGCTGGTGCATCCGATAGGTCCATAGTCACAATATGAAAAGCTTCCCGTCCTGACCGCCCAGAAGGGCAGATGCGAGGCGCAAGGATCCCTGACAGGCTGCAAATTTGAGTCAATGGGCTCCCAAATGATCTCTTGGCCGAAATGTTCAAACCTCCTCTGCTATATACATTGTATATATACACATAGTATATTATATATATATGTATGTTTATTATCTATATGTAATATTAATTATATAATATAAGACCCCATATAATATTGTAATATTATCCCTTACTGTACAGCCTCGGCTCCGAAGGTCCGGCTGAAGGCCAATTCAAAGAAATCGCTGCATGCCTGGTGTCCGGGAGCAGATTTGGCGCGGATGTAACGTGGTAAACATGGACCAAGTTTTGATCGTAAAGCATCCCAACATCACCAGAAATGGGGTATGATTATGTATTAACATGTATTAACCATCAGAATTTGAGGGGAATATGTTCGGTTTTGCCACGTGATACAGCGAATAGCCATCCACAGGGGCGGAGGGCGCGCACCTTGAAGCCGTATCCTGACACGCAAGGATACAAACAACCGACAAAGATGTAGCAAGATAAGCTGGGAAGTGAAATCCCTTGTTTCATGTTTAGCATGCTTCATGAACGGGAATTCAAACCACCAATCGCTTCTTATAAATTTCTTTGAAATATATGAAGATTATGAAAGTATCATCCGCACAAAGCGTCACAAGCGCTGTGAACTCCTCCGATCTTGTGGTACTCTGTGAATTTGCGACTGCCAGCCTCCAAAAAGACTTGAAAGGTTCTGGCACAACTCGCCCGACCATGTTATGGCCCCAAAATGGTGGCATACCCTATTCAAAGCATGTCAAATCTGTTTCATGGATTTTAATGGTGATTTTGTGCACTTTTGAACATAATTCTACTGGGTAATGCATATCATATGATCAAGGGTACCACATTTTCAGAGCCGTATCTGCTGATGGTTTCCGAGGAGTCAACCACTTTCGTTCGCAAAGGCCTGAGGGTGGCATGATCTTTCCACTGGGCTGGTGGAACACCCATCTAGTTACCGGGAAGGTATAGGGATAGGATATGATAGGATGATATGTGGTACTTGATAGTATTGCATCGGTATGATGTGTAGTACAGTATATCGTGCTTCAATATTTTCACACATGTTTCAACGCTGTTCAGCTCTTCCTACGCTCTTTACCAATTTCCGTGTCTGCTGACAGCATGATCTTCATCTTTGGAAAGATCGAGACCTTTCATCGCTGATGGATCCCTTCTACCAGTCATCCAGCAAAGTCCTACTGTCAGCTTGCCAGCTCAGAGCACGGGGGCCTTGTTAATCGGATCTTCTGGATATCAAACAGCTTGCCAAGGTCTTCCAATTTGGTGGCGACAGGTCTTCCGGCGTACCACCAACTCCGAACTTCTTGGCATAGGGCGTAGGCCTCCAACATCCTCCAACGCTTCATCCTTCTACCACGTAAAAACTCACCAATCCCAGCCTGCGGAAGCCACAACTTCAACGCCTGCTCGCTTCATTTGTACAATTGCCAAATCCACCGCAGATTTTCCCGCGCAAAATTCGCGGCCATAGATTCCAACCAGCACTGGATCATAGTGTGCAGTATGCTCAAAGTTCTCCTGGCGTGCTCCGCAAAGGTTCAGGTCCACAACCACCTTCATTGACAAGCCTTGCTCCTCCAGCTGTCCAGCAATTCGTGTGGAACTGACCCTGACGCAACTGGTAGTAGTGCAGCCACCAATCACCAGAACACCAATTCCTTGCCTTAGAAGGTGGACCACCCCTGAGAGGATCGGCCTAGCAGGGCCTAGGAATGCCAACCCCGTAATTTTCAGCGCCGAGATACTGTGCCTGCTTGCGAAGCCACTGGAAGAACGCCGGATTGTAGGTCACATCCATGGTAGGCTTGTGAATGCAGGGGTACTTTCTCAAGAGTGGTTCCAATGTCTCCAGGTATGGCTCGTCTTCTGAACCATCCTGGATGGTCAGGACAACAATCATTATGAATCATAACTTACATAACCATCAAACAATAAGCCTCTCAAACATGGGAAATCCATTGGGGAAATCCCCAGTCAGACTGGCCATGTGAAAGGGAAAAATATGGAAAAATCATCTATAAATGGTGGATTGTCCATCGCCATGATCACAAAAACTCCAATGGCTTCACCAGCAGCTTCTCGTCACTTCCAAGACACTTCTCAAAAACCATGAGCTTCGACCACCTCGACCCTCAAAATTGGTATAAATTGGTTATGTCATACATGTTCTATGTAAATCATCTGAAACGTTCTAAAACCATCCCCATCTTACCATACTTACTCCCAACTTGATCCATTTCTGCAAAGGTTTCCGGCCAATAAGTATCAGGATGCGTTTCTCCATATTTTTGGACAACCGGCAAGCACAACAGGATCTCGTTGGCTTTCTCCCATTACCAAGAAAACATCTGCCAAAAAGCAACATCTGGATAGTTCCCTGATGTTTCCTCCAGATTTTGAACAATCACTTCAATATGTTGAACACATGCTTAAACAAAAATGCCACAAAAACACCATTCAAAAAACATGATAAAACATCTTCCAACTTCCCCCAACTTCCCCCAACTGCCACGGCTCCGTGTAGCACTTGGTGCACAGCACCGGCGTCTCCGGCGGCAGCTTCCCCGAGCCGAGCAGCTGGGCAGCTGCCCCACAGGCGCGGGCGATGTCGCGGACCTCCTCGGGGCCACCGAAGTGGCAGGCCCAGCTGCCAGTTGTGAAGGCCTCCGAAAAAGGCAAAAACCTGGGATAAGATGGGAAAGATGGAAAAACATGGCAAAACTATGCAAAACTCTAGGGCAGATCATAGTGACTCAGTGGATTTAGGGATGGTAACAAGATGTAACAAGCAATTGACGGGAAAATGTGATGACTATAGGCAGGGGGATTTAGGGAAATTCCAGGAATTACGGTGAATCTGAACGTTGTAAACTTCCAGAAGTAGGGTATGGTAAATACAATCCGATTCATATTTGGTAAGGGGACCATCAGTGCAAGGAAAATGGGAAGAAACGACATTCAATTCAGCGACCCTGCAACTGGAGGTTAACGCCCCAAGAGACGCTCAAATCAACTAGTGCCCATCTGATCATTTTTGCTTTTCAGTTCTGGAACATGTTTACATCATCATCAAAGGATTTGCTGCAAGATGTTGAACAATTGCTGCAACTGTTGGTGTGAACTACATATATAGTCTATAGTCTCTATTATTTGCAGGGGAGTGTGCAAAACTTGGGCAAAAACATGTCCTCGTATCTTTGAAGGCGTTGCCTTTTGCATGTCGATCAGAAGCAGAGCAGCTCTTGGTTTCGTCATCGGATGCTCCTGACAGTAAATTTGGCTGATCATGGTCCTGACAGGAACTGCACTCATATCATCAATCATGTCAACCCAGGATTAATAAACCCTTGTTGATTATGTGGGTTACACCAGAATAATTGATGATAAGCTGCTACTATTAAAATGGTACGAGTACCCACCAATTAAACAATCCAGGAATTGTTAATCCGGGGTTGACAGTATGTGGTAACAATGGACATCCAGTCCTTTTCCTCCGCCATGACTGTTGACGCTGGTCGTCGGGTTTGCTGAGCCGCTGGAGAGTAGGGCAACTTGACTGTGAAGCAGGAAAGCTGGCCTGTGCAGCCGGAAAAAAAAACTGTCGCAGGCATACCGAGTCATACTGGTTCTTGGTATCATCCATCAATATCCCACATTTCTACATCACTTCTATCTGGCTTAGAAAACGCAAGATTCTGGCAGAAAGTTGGGGGAAAGAAGGACCTTGAAATTAAAAGCTGCTGAACCACTGGGTTTGTCTGAAAATGCGATACCCGCAAATCCTCTGGTTTATTAGCCTTTTTCCCACTAAACATTGCCAGTTAAGGGTATCCCTCATTTTTGGACAAACCCAATTTCACAAATAGGCTTCAAAGCAGAGCGCCAGCTACCAGGTATGAGGTTCTTCTTAGCAGTGTGCCGTGAGTAAATGCAAACTTCAGCATCCAGTAGATTCTTGGAGCCAAAACAGCTGCTAATCGACCATGAGGGTACACTGTACGGTACACTACCTTACAAAGAAATGATAAGACATCAAACTGCACAGCATTGCACAGCACAGTTTGCCATGGAGACGACCTCCACGATTCTATCGACCAAGGTTCCGGACTCGAGAGCAAAGGGGACAGCCTCAGGGTTACTTTTGCAACCTAGCTAGGTGGGTAAATAGAGAGACGCGGAGAGGTAGCCAGGTAGATAGATAGGCATAGATAGGCAATATTAGACAGCTGATTATAGATTATTGTACTGACTATGAGTGATAAGAACTGATTATATTTGACTAGATATGATTGACATTATTGAAACTAATCTAATTGTTGCAACCTGCGTCCAGTCGAATCAAATCTCATCAGATCTCATCAATCCCGCTCCAGGTCTGCAGAAATACAGCTCTGAAAGAGCTGTAGGTCAAAATCCTCTGAAACATTCTGAGACCCTGTTGCCCTGGTCAACACTACAGAAAACTCATAGGTTTTGATGCTTTCCCAAATGGTCTCTGGGCCGCTCGCCATCCAAAAAGCGGGATGCCTGGGTTCACTTTCCAGGACTCAGAATCGTGTGTCTGTTCCGTTTCAATGAAGCCAGAAGGGCCCCAAAATGGCCGCAATGGTCAAAATGAGGCATCTCCAAAGATTGCAATTCCACAGCCAAGGGGCAACTCAAACTTGAATTTTGCGGCAAAGCGGAAGGCTCGGCAGATGCGCAAAGGGTCATCAATCAGGACCTAAGTTGCGCAAGTTCAATGATGCATTCGGGCAAACTGTTTGCTCATTTTAGGCGCTGGCTTTGCTCCACCAAAGTATCTGTACCTGTGACGCTTGGCAATGTGTGCCGCACACGCTACTCAAAGAAAAATCTAGCAGAGTCACTTGAAGTCATCTGACGGTCTCTTGGATCTCTTGGTATATTAACACTATTTCTATGTATTTCTATTACCATCTGTTAAGAACAGGTCAAAAAAGCCGGCACTGGCGACTGGCGGCTGAGATTGCAGCTGCTTCCTCCGGTGGCAATTCTTTGATCTTCAGAATCTTGGCCTCGGAGCCACAGCCATCTTTGGTCGCGGCTCGAGAAAGGCTGTTCAGCAGCCAGGCATCGGATTTTTTTCCATTCTGCCAATCGATTTTGATGTAGAGCGAACTACCGAGCTTTGTCAGCAATCTCTGGTGTGCTTGGAAACTGCCAGGAAGAGACATAGCAACTCCCTGACATTCCCAAAGTTCTCCGCAAACATCTAAGTACTTCCAAAACTGGACCTACCCACTGAAGGCACGCAAAGCAATCACGTCGAAAGTGGCTTTGCCAAGACCAATGGCGAAAAAAAGCCCAATTCCTCCTGAAGTGCTTGCTTAAACTCTGCAGAGACTGCACGTACGAGGTGGCCTACAACAGCTGAGACCAATGAATACTGTGTGAGTCATAAGATTTCCGGCCCTGATGGCCCAAATATGCCCTGCCGGTGTCTTTGAATCACGCATCCCAACAGCAACATATACCACGCCCCTCCGTCCTGCAGCAAATCGCGAAACCTCTGCATTGCTCACAATCACATTGACAGCATCAGCTGCGAGGCAAACAGCTGCAATGTTGCTCTCCAGATTCCTGCCAAATACTTCAGGTATTCGTCGAGACAAAGAAAAAGCAGTTGAATTGCATGTCAATCTGCAGTGTTTCATTCCCCCACCACTGATATCAATGGCCATTTCAGGAACCTAAATTGGAGGTACCTACCATATATAAGGCCTATGTAAAGCCTATGTAAGGGAATATCCCCACAAAATATGGTCTTATATGGTACAGTACCTCCATTTTAGGATCCTGAAATTCCCATTGATGATACCATGCCTACTTTTGTCCAAGGATGTAGTTGCTACGGCTGCTACGGCTCTGTCCACTTCGTGAGCTGGACACGGCCCTTTTTTTGATAACCGGACTGACTCAGGGGCTGAAATGAAACACCAGGTGTGTTCACACACCTAGACCATAATATATACATCAATATGTGAACTCCAGTATCTATCTATATATAAATATATATCTAATATAATATATATAATATATAATATATATGTAATAATGATAATAATAATAATAAATAATAATCCATTGCAGTATATCACAGTCATAGTATGAATGCTAAATCAAACAAGTCCATGACGGCCCCCGGCCCGGTCTTTGGATCGATGGTCAAAGCCCCAGGATTCTTCTGGATCACCTCACTGGCCCTGGACGCTCGATCTGTGGGCCCTGTGATTTAAAACAGATGGAGGGGGACTAGAAATGATTGTGTATGTACATCTGTATATATATATACAGTGTATATATATATGTACAGTATATATACACATACTGTATATATATATATATACAATGTATACTATATAATATACATTATATATATAATTTAAATTTCATCAAGTATCAAACAAATACCCATACATATCCCATACCTTCATTTAGATTTATCAGTTGACGTTTTTGCTTTCGAAACTTCAACCCAGTGATACCCTTCGCTTCGGCTGATTGGGTCATGTTGGGTCGTATCATGGTCGTATCCCCCATATCTGTTGGGTACGTTCCCAACATTTCGCGACCCCCCGTCTTGTCCTGCCTCTCTTTGCCCAACTTGCGCTGAAGGACTTCTCCAGCGCTTTGAATTTGACCCTCAGCTGAATGCTGGCGGCGAATCATCCTATCCAGTAGCATCCGCATAGGAAGGATTGCAGCACGCTTCTTCTTACCCAAGATGGTCGCAGTTAGGATGGAGCAACAGCAGAAATATGCGATGATGAGATACAGGAACAAAAAGGGCATGATGTCTCGCACTGCCGGGAATCAGACCTCTGCAAAGTACATCACTGCAATGTTCTTCTTCATGGCAGCCAAGGCTGCTTCCTCACCTCCACTGTCGATCATGGGGCTGACCAAGCACATACAAGCACCAAACATCAAGCGACTTCCCCCGCATTCGGGAACATCGCTGGAGGATTGAATGATATAATATAGGTTGTACGCATCGTGGCGCAAAATGGAGGTTTCCTGAAATGGGGTACCCCTAAATCATCAATTTTAATAGGATTTTCCATGAAATAAACCAACCAGCTATTGGGGATCCCCATTTATGGAACCTCCTTTTCTAACCAGGAATCACCCGGAGATCCGTCGCCTCCAGCTGCTCCTGTAAGGGCTCGAAAACGTCTCCTGAGCGCTTCTTCTGTCCTTGGGCCCACCTCCAAGTCGCGCCATTTGGGTAACACCTCCAGCTGCTGGAAGTCCATGGATTGATTTCTAACTTTTGGACACCTCAAGTCACTGGAAATTCATGTGAAATTCGCTACGGAATCTCAGGAAAGCCATGGTTTTTGAACCCTCCGAAGATGGTTTGGTTTCCTGCGAATTCTGCCGGGAATCCATTCTGTGCAGGTGGGATATCCTTTGACAAACTTTGACAAATCGCCAAGCTGGGGATGGTCAAAACATGTCAAAACGGGCCCGATGTTCATCCCGGTGCGATGGTCAGCTAGAGACGCAGTCCTACGAGTACATCACAACTTGTGATAAGCATTGGGTGTTGGACATGTGGAAGCACTCACCAACCCTAGCCTTTTACCAATCATCGATGGACATTGCCATTTCAATCTTACTGCGCAGCTATTGGTGTTTAATTCCCAGAATTTATCATGATCAGCTAAAACCCTGCAACTAGACATTTCTGCTTTAGGAGCTGTTGAAACGCTATTTATTGACCATTAAAAGATGTTCAAACCATTTTTTTTGCTAGCCAAAAAGTCCCTTGTTCTTGGTACTCAAATGGTATAGTCCAAACAACAAAAAAATCGTAGCTGACCCGGCTGACCCTCATTCTTTCATTTTCTTTCACTTCCACACGCATCAAAAGGCTCAAATCCCTTTTTGCCAAACTATGCACACTCTCTACTCGGGTTTATCTGAAAGCAGGACATCCTAAGTGTGATGGTTTATCGTCATTGTTCCTATCAAAATCATTATCAAATGGTGGCTTTTGCCAAACTACACCGGCTATACCCCCATTCCTAGACAGTTTTGATGGTTATGGTTGGCTTTATATCTCATATATTCCCATACTTATCATATCATAGTTATGGTTGGTTTTATATCCCATATATAGTCATATTGTATTCTATATATATATATTATATATCCCATATCTTCCCATATGACATCCCCATTAACCCCAGTTGCCTCGTCGATGGCATCGCGGGCCTTTAGCTCTCCAGCCGACCATGGCAAGAGCTCGGAGAGCCACTGGCCTCGAACGGCCAAACGAATCGTTGGAAAACGCGGACGGAGACTGGTCGGAGCATGGGGTGAAGCGGAATTCCCAGCTGATTATTTGATTATAAATGATATATATATATATATACGTATATATATATATATGATACTGGTAGTTGATAGATTATCTGATTAATTATATATGATACTGGTAGTTGATAGTAGATTATGATGACAACTATAAATATTATGACAAGAGTAGATCAATGTATCAATTGATATCAATGGTAGATTATGGTAGATTAATAAGTCCGGAACCGACCATCAACCTATTGTTGGTCAATGGTGATTCTACCAACCCCAGTAGCTCGATGACACTCCTAAAAATAATGGTTAAGATTCTCCCTTTTGAGAGAAGTGTGAAGCAGAACGGCTAGGATTGTTTCTTAACTTAACATGTTTTCTGCAAAATTCAAATAATTATATGGGATCATCATCATTTTCCTCATTAATATGTATATTTGGGAATAACATATCATACTTATTTGTGGATTATCATCACCTTCATCAGCACTGATCATCATCGTCACCATTGATCATCATCATCATCATCATCATCAGCAGCAGCAGCAGGTTAGTAATCCCCGAAAACATCCTAAAACTGGATATATAACTACTAGATGATTGGGAAACTCTAAGTAGCTCCTTGGCTCCCCATTTAATAGAAAATATGAATACCCCTAGCTCCTTAGCTCCCTCCTAACCACTGGATATATGGCAGTGTGTAAAAACCTTGTAGCCCTGGTGAACATCAAAATAGCTGGTAAATGGATGTTCATCCCATTAAAAATTGTACTTATAGGTATTGATCCATAGCCATATTTGGATGTGGTTAGGATTGGAGTATGATATGATATGATTAAAAATTGCGAATATGAATATAAATATGAATAGAATGCCCATTTAATAGAAAATATGAATACCCCTAGCTCCTTAGCTCCCTCCTAACCACTGGATAGATAATGATATAATAAGGGTCACCATTGATCATCATCAATGGGTAAATCCCACGATTTCTATGGCCGTTTTTTCGTGTTTTAAAAAACGCCCCTGGCCTGGGTCAAAGGCCTTCTCTTTCCGCGTGATCAGGGCATAGTCCTGGGAAAAGTAGTTGTAGACGATCTCCTCCATGTCGTGCGGTGATAAAATATGGGGGACCCCAAAATGGATGGTTTATAGTGGGAAAACCTATGAAAATGGATGATTAACCTGGAAAAACCTGTGAAAATATGGGGAAATCTGGAACATTATGATTGACCATGAAATTTGGGACTGGTTACCGGATTCCACAGGAATATTTTACTGAAACATAGTGAAACAAGGACCATTTTGATCGATTTTGAAGGTGGTATCAGACCACGAAATTTCAATTTCTATCTTTTAGTAATCTAGTCTGGCAAGGGAAAGGCGCCCTTTCACACATATGTTTTTCCTAATAAAACATGTTCGTTTTCCATTGTTAGGTTTGGCTATCAAAGGGTAGACATGGTTTGGTCTCAGAAAATGGTGGGGATATCCCTCCAAATAGCAATGTTCATCAGGAAACAATGAGTTCTGCCTATTTTCACATTTTGGGATACCCCCCATTTGGAGGTTTCCATAAATGGGGGTATCCCTAAATCATCCATTTTAATAGGTGTTTCCACTATAAACCATCCATTTTAGGGTACCTGTACCCCCATTTATGGAAACCCCCATTTGACGAAACAAGCCCCACATGGGCACCTGTCCTTGCCATCAGCATCTGCTCCCCTTCCTTCAGCCGACCGACGAGGGCCGCGGTCAAGGTGCCGCGGCAGAAGTCGTGTGGGCTGCCAGTTGCAAAATGCCTTGCCAAAAAGCAGAAAAACCGCCACAATGAGGACAAACATACGTAATTATACAAAAATTGGGTATATAATGGTATATATTGAGAACTATTTAAGATACCATGTGATACTATATCAATCATGTGTTACAGTATATATGTTTATATTATGTCATGTATTTAGTTTGATTTTAGTTTGTATTTGTAGAATATCATGTGTTGGGCGGCTATGGCGGCTGGGAATTTGAGGTTGCTGCCAAAGGCGATGAAGTCCCTACCTTTTTTTCCATTCCATGACCTCCTTTCAGGCGGACCCTGCCTTGGACCTAGTTCTCGGGTGCTGAAAGTACTTCGACCCAAAGACTACGATACAAGTGTGACAAGTGTGCTATTTGATGCATCACCAACACCTTCAGGGTTCTCCAGAAATGGGGGATACACCATTTCAAGAGATAATATTGGTGTACATCGCCATCAAGATCCAAAGAATCAGGGCAATTATTTGTTACTTTTTTCCCATGAGATTTTGGGGTACCCGTGGGTACTGAGGTCATCCTGAGCTGCTTGGCAGTTCCAACCCCTTCCCAAACACGTTGTTCAGTTGGGATTTCTGATATACTGATGGAAGGTAAAATAAGTTTCCGAAACCATCAACCAGCGAGCCAAAGGTTCAGTTTATAGAGTTGATCAACTTTCCTGAGACGGAGACATAAAGTTCTCAAAGGGGTGTCACAGAATCATAATATTTTGATCATTTTTGGGTGCTAAATCAAACTAAACCATATTTCACCCTCCAGTTTCCCCGGTGATTTTGAGCCACATCAAAGCTGCCAGTCGAGCAGCCCATCCACCCACACAGAGCCACAGGAGCCATGGCGGCAAGCTTCGCATGGATCTGACCATGGCTTCTTCGGAATCTCCGGCGCTCTGCTGTTGACGATGGACTCGCTGCTTCCAGGAGACATCCGGAATTTCGGTTCACTTATGGGAAATCCTCTCGGCCTCCAGGAGGCATCCTCTCATATCTGTGCTGAAAAATCGACCTCCATATCACATGATTCTTGTGGTTTGGCTTGAGGTTTCATGGCTCAAACTTCACAGTTTGACCATTCAAGTGGCCCCGAATCTTGGGCCGCTGGCTTCAAATTGATTGATTCGACTCCATCAGGAGCAACACTTGCAGCAAATACAAGTCATCACAATATCTTTACAAACTGAGGTGACCACAAGCTCTTTCTCTTCATCCGTCCTTAAAAGTTTTGAGAGGGTTTCTTGCATGTTCTCGGCAAGTATCAGCTTTTGGAGGTTCATCACTATTTGACCACCAAAAGTATCAAACAGTCATATTCAAGCCCTGAAGGAGGAAATAAATATGCGCCGCTGCGTTTGAATCCGCATTCTTCTCAACAGGTTCTTGCAGAAAAGCACTGCCCAGCAACCTCAAAACAATCTCTGCGACCTCCTCCACCGTCTTGTTAACCGGACCTTCTGGAAATCTGGCAACAAATTTGTGTTTCATGCAAGGTGCAACAGCAGCTTCGCATGTCTTCAAGTATGTTGGCTTCTGGTTGCATCATTAAGCCACTGGCATGGAGATCGCAGCATACCCTTGCAAATGTCATCTACCTCGTTTGGCTGATAGGCTGATAGGCCCCTTATAGGACAAAAGATCAATACCACCGTTCTGCACAGCTTCTCAAAAGCAACGTCGGCAGCTCGGGTTTCCTCACACCTCCGTAGAAATCAAAAAGCTCATATTCCAAAGCCTCAGGACATCGATCGTTCGGAAGAAATTTCTCAGGAAACTGCAGGTTTACCATCAGAAACTGATGGTTAAACCATTCATGTTCAATAATTTCAATAGGAAAAACCATGGAAAAAAACCATGAAACCATGGGTTTTTCATGGTTTTTCCATCGATTTCCTGTCGTCCTGTGCCGGCTCCGAGCCGGCTCCGAGATCTCCGAGGCCCCGGGCAGCGTCGCTTCCGTCGCCGGCAGCGGCGCTTCGCTGTACACCTCGGTGCCAATGGTTTTCATGATCATGAAAAAAACATGTTATATAAATAATGATAAATAACGATATGATAATGATCGTGATTTGATATATCACAAAACCAAATTTATTTAATGATAATGATAAATATATAATGATAATGAAATAAATATAAAGATGTTTGACAATAACTATAATGATCATGCTACAGATTTTGGTCAATGATAGTGATTATGGGTTCAAACCGAGTCGTGTCAAGACGCGAAGCAGCAAGGCTCCGATGGTCAAATCCCGACGCCTCGGGTCATGTCACCATCGGCGATCAACTGAAGTTGCTAAGATACCACTAAAATTTAGTGGGAAATTGAAGCTTTTCTGAATCTCTTGGAGACTATTATATGATATACATAGAATTACATAGATATATATATATCACACACCAAGAATTTCTTATCCTGCATTCTTCACACACCATTGGTTTTGGCCAACAGCAGCTCACATTTGGTTCTCCATCGACATCTCGGGTCTTGGCAACGCATCCTCCTCTGGCAGTCCACGTTGGTCTCGCTCTGGAATCCTGTGGCGGCTGAAAACCTTATCGGTTTTACCCAGCAGAAAATATGGATTTGTCTGAAAATCACGTACCCCAAAATCCCTATTGAACTTGCATGAACTGGCCATTTTTGGGGGGTATAACGCATGCCACAAGTTCAAACACACTCTTATCAAGATGCAGATTTAGCACCAGAAATTGGCGGTTGACATTACCAAAACATGTAGTTTCACCAGCAAACATTGCAGGTTGACCAACAAACAATGAAGCGTCTACCAGTGATTGGGATACTTACTAACAAAGATGCTGGGCTTGTGATGATCTGAGGTTTGACCACAGCCTTAAACTGGGTGACGAAGGGGGAATTGCACCTATCAACCAGTTGAAAGGAATGTACCCTCTGGTAATTTAACATAGCTATTGAAAATGGCCATTTATAGTGGATTTTCCCATTAAAGATGATGATTTTCCATAGCTATGTTAAATTACCAGAGGGTATCAACCAGTTGAAAGGAATGTAGATCTTTTATAACATTCCTTCTTGCGGTTGGTTTAAGCTCAGATTCAAATCGTGGGAAGGCCTCGAATTGCCCAGCTGACGTCAAGAATCCCCAGAGTGGAACATTTGCCAACCCAACTATTTCTAGGCTATCTTCCATTTTCTCGATGAGTTGTTAATCTCTCGTATCCCCCCATGTGTTTATATAATTGTGTTTATATTATGTTGGTGGTTTCCTCCCCATGTTTTTATATGTGTTTGGTGGTTTTTCAATGTTTTTCATTCCTACATTCTCCATCTCCATGAAAATGTCGCACAGAAAAGTGCCAGCAAAGCACATTCTCAAAGTGCCAGCCTGTTGTCTTCCGAATATTTCTCCTCACCAATGGTCGGCATCACATCGACCTGGATAGCAGGAGCCAAATTCACCAGCACCTGAAAAACTGCATGTTTCTGCAACTGAAAATGATACTGAATGATACAGATGAACAGTGACAGCAAGTGGTATTTTTATTCATTTATCCTTTATCAAATTCATTTTGTGGTCACTAGTTTTCTTCAACAGATTGTTTTTTCCCAAATAAACCGGTACACACTGGTACCCTCTGGTAAACTAACATAACTATAGAAAATCACCATTTTCAATGGGAAAATCCCATATAAATGGTCATTTTCAATAGCTATGTTAAATTACCAGAGGGTAACCGGTTTGACTTCTGAAATGCGCATTTCTGCCCCCAGCCTCGGTCTTCACTCCATCCTTGTTGGTGAAGTGCGCCTTGAAGGTGTCCAGCTGCTTATCTTTCGACTCATTGGAGAGAATGGTTGCCTCGGTGCTTGGCAGTGGCGGTACCTGGTACCAGGTACCCTATAGCTGGGAAAATCATCAGTGGTGGATGTGAAAAATTGCGATGTTTGATTGCTAGAGGGTGCAGGATTCAAAAGATTGACTTTGCAATATGTTTATCAAACCACCCTGAGTCAAATATGAAGGTGCTAAAGACAAAATTTCAGGGCATCTTTCTTGTATTGGAGATTGCTAGATTCGATGGTTCTGAGCCCCCCACGTTCTTGAACTCTGTGATGCCCAACTCTGGCCTCGGGTTTGAAGTTTTTGAACCATCCAAGTCCCACAAAGGAAACAGAGAGGAACTCGAATCATCCAAGGTGGACACCAGAAAACCATCAAAAACCGCAATGGCCCAGCCTGCTTTCTACATAGCCTTTCATCTCATCCAGAAGCGCAGCAACAGTGACCTGGAGATTGCTCGCAATGAAGCTACGGGCTAAGGATCAAAGATGCAGCTGGCCTCCTCTGGGCAGTCCCGAAGACACAAGGTCAAATCCAAGTCATCGGGTTCCTTTCCCAGCAACAGGTCCCTCACCTCAGACCACAGGATGTGACCCGCTGATTTGCTGTGGATATCCACATTCATCCAGAAATATCCAGAATCTATGATGGATTCAGCATGCAGCATGATTCAGCCAAGCAAAATTAAGGATCCCACATAGCCGCCATTGACAAACACCGGCACGTCCGTCAATCCTGAAACGAATCTCCGCAACCAAAACCCCAGTGCCGCTTTTTAGGGTGCCATGTGGTGCCCCAAAGCCTTGATGTGCAAGAAAGCTGAGGAAGAAGTTGAGGATCTCGGAGTCCGTCTTTGGGATCCTGGGATCCGATTTTTAATCATCTTGAAATCTTGGAATCATTGGTGAATCAGAGTCAAATCCCCCACCTGCAGGCATACCTGAGCAAAGCGTGGAGACTGCGCGAACTCGAAAGTCATGCATGAACTCACTGGTGCTTAGCAGGGAATGGGGGGAATGATTCATAATAATAATAATAATAATAACAAATAGATACAAATAGTAACTATTATCAATCATCCCATTCCCGATTCCCCCCTGTCCCTCCTAAGCACTAGTAAGAAAACCTGAAATCATTCCGGCGCACTCATCAGGCAACTTCTCCCCATGATGCACCGCAATTCGTTTTGCAGCTACGGCAGCCTCACTTGGATCACGCAATCTACGCCCTCTTCGAATCGTTGCCTCTGTAAACATCAGCGGAATTGGGGGGTGAACAATGATTACAGTACATCCGCCAAAAATCTGGAGCAATATAGGTTACATCAACAATTCTGTTTCTGGGAATCTGATTCAATCTGATTCAAGTACCAGTTTTTTTGGTTAAAAAACAGTGGCAGATGATATCTGAAGACAATCAGAGATGTTGCATTTGCAGCTCAGAGACCATAGTTGCCAAGCAAGCACGTTCAGTCAATGAAAGACCTGGCGAGTCTATCCGTCGACGGTTGATGGGGATGAAGGCTGGACTCAAACTTGGGCTCCAAAAATGAATGGTGAGTACCAAACATTACTCATCAATGTGTGGATTTTTCACATGGTTCCACTTCCATTTTGACCCAGACCATCCCAGATGTATTTGGCAGCGGCTTGCCTGGTTTCTTCACTGGTGACGCTGTACGCCTGCATTGGCTCAAAGCGGCCGAGAGGAAATGGCTTCTGAGTTCTCTGATAGAAAGGCTTCACATCATGTAAGGATGGGTCTGAAACTTGCCCCCTATTCCAATGGATTATTGTCATCATTGTCCCCATTTTGATGGCTATTTGGGGATTTAAGGGGCTGTACCGGCTGTACCCCATTTTCAGACACACCCATGTGTAATACAAGATTCAATGAAATTGGATGGTGTGAACATCCACAATCATCCACACCTCACAACGAAGTGGTTTGGCTTCACTGGGCCTCAAGTTGTGGTGTCAAGCGCTGCTTGGGACTTTGGCCCCAGCACCTTCCCCTCTGGCTCAGCTATGGACGAGGTGGCAAATGACGTGAGGATGGAATTGGCACCTCATGCGAAGCCGTGAAGCCAACATGCCATACTGCTCTAAAGGTGCGCAAATGTCATTCTTTTTAGCACAGCAGCTTTGACTCCATGAAGCAAAAGCCATGCTCCGAGAAGAACCAGCTGCTCAATGGTGCAAAACAGCCCGTTGCCAGTACAGATTTGCTGTAATGGCCTGACACATACTATCCTCATGTCCCAACTTGTCCAACTCGCATTCTCCGACGAACTTGTCTTAGGACAGCACAATCAGTCCGCGACGAATACCGGGAAGTTCGAGCATATGCCGCTCTCAAGACTTCATCAAGGCTGTTGTGGCGGTTGGTTTCTTTAGATTGTCTTAACATGTGTTGAACGCGTGCGAATCCCAGAGCACACAATCAGTTGGGGATGAAAGATGATGAAAAATGAAAAAACGCTAGCAATGACTTCAACCCAAAACATGGGCAACGACACATTGCATGACAACTTGAAAACGCGCCTCCAGGGCTGCAAGGGAGGCAAGCTTGAACCAAACGGAGAGCGGAGAGAAGGTGCCCTTTGGCCCGTTCCAAGGATTGCTTTCAGTGTCACACTATGTCACACTGGTGGTCAAGATTGGGGTAATGACCCTAGTATCATGTGGTATCATTTGGGACCATTTTTAGCATTAGACCATTCAAAAACCATCGATCCATTGGGGCCCAATTTGACCCATAGCTGCCATAGCTCTGCTCGGCTCGCGCTTTGCGGCGAAGCTCGGCTGGCGAAGTCAGGAGAAAAGATCCACCTGCGGAAAGCGACTTGATCATACTTGACCTTTGCTGTGATTTCACCTCAAAACCTGTTCGACCAAGGCAGTACTAACGCAACCTCTTTTCTTCAAAGCCCGCCATGTTGATAATAACATGATGTAACATAATGTAACATGATGTAACATGATGTAACATGATGTAACATGATGTAACATGATGTAACACAATGTAACATAATGTAACATAATGTAATATGATGTAACATAATACAACATAATAATGTAACATAATGTAACATAATGTAACATAATGTAACATAATGTAATATGATGTAACATAATACAACATAATGTAACATAATGTAACAAAATGTAATATGATGTAACATAATACAACATAATGTAACATAATGTAACGTAATGTAACATAATGTAACATAATGTAATATGATGTAACATAATACAACATAATGTAACATAATGTAACATAATGTAACATAATGTAACATAATGTAACATAATGTAACATAATGTAATATGATGTAACATAATACAACATAATGTAACATAATGTAACATAATGTAACATAATGTAACATAATGTAACATAATGTAACATAATGTAACATAATGTAACATAATGTAATATGATGTAACATAATACAACATAATGTAACATAATGTAACATAATGTAACATAATGTAACATAATGTAATATGATGTAACATACTACAACATAATGTAACATAATGTAACATAATGTAACATAATGTAACATAATGTAACATAATGTAACATAATGTAACATAATGTAACATAATGTAACATAATGTAACATAATGTAACATAATGTAACATAATGTAACATAATGTAACAAATACATTGTCCCATTGTACTATTATTATCTATTTAGGTTGCACTGAAAACCATGTTCTTTTTAGTTTCATGCTAAACTGCTCTGTCTCAGCCTGCCACTCCTTTGCTGCAGCCCTCAAGAGCTTTCGCCGCTCCTGGCGCCAGCCTGGGTGAGAAACCCGCAGGGCACAGTTGGAGGTTCCGGAAATGGTGGTACCCCGAAAACATCCAAGTTATTGCTTCTTATCAATGGGAAAACGCATGGTTTGGGGTACCCATATTTAGGAAACCTCCAATTGGGAAGGGCTTTGTCCAAAAATGGAACGTAAGAATACGTAAGACCCCAAAATGGTAATGCAACTGGGGAGTGTGATGATTATCCAGTGGATCTGGGGTATACAGTGGCATACAGGTATATACTCATGCCAAATGGACCATCAGACCATCAAATGCTGTGCCTCTTTCTGCAAGTTTCAACTACAGTGCTTGCGCTTAGATCACTGCGCAGAAGTACTCGGCCAATACCTGTGGAGGACACCTCCTTTGCGACCTAGCGGCTTAGGATCGAATCGGCAGCTCAAAGCTGCCACAGTACTTAGCTAAAAGTCTGACCATGGAGATCATGGTACTTGGCCAACTGGATATCCTTGATTAAAAGCATGTTCGACTCATGTTGGGTCTGGTGATGCTCTGGTGATGCTAAAGTGCACCGCTCATCAGGTCACCAGCACCTTCTCATCATCAGACTCTCTGCATTCCTTTGCAGCACATCTCAATGTAGCTTGAACCGCCTAGCGGACCATCAGCCATCGATGCCATGCCAAGAGCAACTCCCACAGTGCCCACAGAAAGTGATGACCCCTGCAGCTGCACCTCCATCAGGCTCGGTTTCGACACCTGCAGTTGTTACACGGCAACAATCAGCAAGACAACAGGCCTTGCAAATCCAAGTACTGAAACCACGACTATTTTCCAGAGTCAGATCACCATTTTTCATCCACGTTTGGGCGCAGCCACTTGGTCACAGGGTTTCACTTCAGCATCTGCGCACATTCTGTGCATCCGTTGACATATCGAACAGCTTTCATAACATCCCAAACTAGATTCACCTTTCGGCAAAGGTGCAACAACCACCTTTCGGGCCATCTACAATGACTCAATGACCGTGGTTTAAAACCATTATGTCACTATGTACAGCATCCCATTTTTGGGGCTTTGAATCCATCGAATCACAAATCCTTGAGGATATCACCATACAAATATTCATTGAGAGCTTCGCCCGGCGTCTTTCCGGTGATCTTGATGTACAGCTCTCCAATCAGAATGGGGGAGAGCAGGACTGCAAAGACGTACCATGGGATGCTATCCTCCACTTTCACCAGTTCAATCTCGAAGACCCAGGGATATTGCCTTGGAAAAGCATGCCATTTTGCAGATTTTTGGGGCCCCCCGAAATATTGAACAAAAAGTTCCAGCATTCCCAGCTTCAAAATATCATCAACGGTGGATTCACAGGAGTTCAGTTTTATAGGGCGCCCAATGGCGCCCATCATTTTGACCCGTTCCAAACTTAGCCAAGAGACCCTCGTTCGCTAAGTTTGCCCCATTCCAGCTCGCTGGGACGAGACGCAGGGACCCAAATGCGGGTTTTCTCACCTTCACGCATCTCCAGCAGTGCACCTCTCCAGCTGCTCAAAACCTGCCATGGTAAGATGATGATTGCGCGGGGATTCCATCATTGGTGATGAGGGTTCAAAAGCCAGGGTCAAAGAACCAAATAACCCGCAGCTAGGACTCTGGAAACGCGTACCAACACACAGGTTCAGTCTCTGCTTCAGTATCTACACCTTTTTCCTTTTTCCACGGCAACAGTTTCCAGAAGCAATTCTAGATTGGCTCTGGTTGCTCATAGGGATCCCCATTGGGGATGCAGTGTAGTGGCCACCGCCCCGTGTGATCCACAGCCTCAGACATCTCGTAGACTTCTGCGCCCTGTCCGCGAAGCAGGGAGCTGTCAAACATCTCTCCATCTGCAACCTCAGTCCGTGGAGGTTTAGAAACAAGGGAGAGACCAATGGTGATTCTCATTTGGATTCATTTGGAGTATGTAACTATGCAAAAACCATGGGAGCAATCATTTGGAGCCATGCCCATCTATTTGGGCTGGAAATCTGCTGTTTCTTGGACAATCTGGGACACCGAACAAAAAAATAAAAAAAACAAAAGCAACGAAGCACACATTGAACAACCACTCAAGATCATAACAAGAAAGGTGCAAACCTAAACTCCCAGAACCTCCTTTACTGCACAGTTTCATCGAATAGAACAGGATTGCTTTGCGCCGAACGCATGATTGATTTAAAGGAAAGCCTATCCCGAATATTTTTGTGCAAATACTTCTAGGAATCTCTGCAGCCCTTGTTGAGCACCTACACCCACATCACTAGCAGGCGCCCCATGATCGGTAGAATATATTAGAATATGGTAGAATGGACCGCCTTGGGCCTTGGCTACACCAAAAAGATGGATGGTCAACAGCAAAAAAAGGCCACATCCACTCAAGACCCCACCTGATTTGCCCAGGGGCCGTCCAGCCAATGTGACGCAAATAAACCTTCGATCCTAATCTACAGAGTCCATGGTGAGGATGTGGGTGTGTCTGAAAACGTGGTACCCTCTGGTAAACTAACATAACTATGGGAAAATCACCATTTTCAATGGGTAAATAAATGGCCATTTTCAATAGCTATGTTAGTTTACCCAGGGTATGAGGGTATGTGATATACCATGATATACCCTCAAATTGCCATTTCAATAGAGACAGCGATGACAAACCATCGAGTTTGGGGGAGAGACCAATTTTCAGACCATGACAACCCAGGTTGCCAACGGAGACGTTTGCATCTTCACAGATCGTCAACCATTGAAACTTCCCCAAAGGTTTGTTTTCAGTTGGGAAGCAAATGCTGAATTACGGGCATCCGCCATTCTTGGGTGGTGATGCCAAAAAGGAACATACAGCAAAATCATGGCAACTTCGGCAAAAACAAAAAGGAAAAGGGTGCTGGAAGAACTGCAACCAGAGATCCTTTAGAAGGAACTTTGGCACCTTTCTTTGGTGCCTGCAGCTGTTCCGTAGCAACCCCACTAGGCCTTCGATTTCTGCGCACCTTTGGGTTTGGACCCCGATATTTGAAGACGTCCTCGGTCAGCTGTTGGAATAGAAGTAGGGGGTCAACAGAAAACATGGTACTTGGACGTGTTTAGTACCAAGATGATCCAAGATGTACTTAATTTATCTTAATTTCGTAGTACCAAGATTGACTTAACTTAGCAGTACCAAGATGTACCAAAGCTGCTCTTTCCCAAGTCCGCATACCACATCCACATGTCCAAAACCCTTGTACCGTCCCCAGTCCATGTTGTTTCAATATGGCTACCACGGCTACCTGTTTGAGGATGGAATCATCCAACAGAAATCCACTGGTGGTATAACTGCAAGCGGCGGGAGGTGCGATAAAGCGCGGGTCCACTCTCTGCTCGGGTTCCTTCGTTTCGAGCTTGTTGGCAGCACGAGCAATGAGCCCCGGCCGCGAGAACTGGGGAATAAAAAGTGTGGGTGCAGCCAGCAGTGTGCCTTGTGGGACATCTGGATGAGGGAGACCCATCAAGTACCCTCAAATATCCCAATTCATTTCAAGAATGATGATCAATGATGAGACTTTGGGATACTTTGGGCGGTAGTACACCATTTTTTTGAAACCACCACATGTGAGTACGGCGACCAACAGTTGGAGTCTTCCATGTGCCAACAGATGACTAGACCATGATCCAGTACTGCAATATACAACTATATCTTCAACGTTTCAAAATGTTTGGGGTCGTTTGTTTTGCCATACCCATGTGGCTCACTGTGGCTGCTTGTCGCCCTCAAAATTACAACCATCAGTCCTAACAGCAGATTTGGAACAAGTGTTGACCATTTTTTAACGCTCTGTGGTGAGCACTGGTAAGCACCATGGCTACATGTCACTGACAGCAGTAATGCATCTGAAGTGCCGATGACACCAAAAACGGATACTCCAAGCCCTCTTCGAAGACGCATGAGTGCGGCTCCCCTCCCGCTCGCAGACAAATTTGGAGCCAAAGCTGCGGATCGACTTGCAAGTTCCTTTTCGATTCAGAACCAGCAATGTGGATTGGTCAAAAAAGATTGGATTCTCCAAAACATCCAAAACAGTTGATTTCCATATTTCCCATCTTATTTTGGGCCATTTGGATACACTTGGGGTTTTCCGGCATCTCCAATCGGGGACAAGTCCCCATCGGCACCTCCAATTGCTCCAAAGACCCGTCGAAGCACAACTCCTAGGTGGACCAGGTGAAAGATGGCAGAGGAAAACTCCACAAAATCCCCAGCCTCAATGGGTACACAAATGAGATCAAATGTTCACTGAATTATGTTCCATAACTTCACGTTGCCAGCAAGAAGAAAACCAAAGTGCACACTGCTAGCTGCGTACGAAGCACTAAGACCTGTTCTCATTCTTAGAGTGCGGACGTGAGGTCGATTGACTTTTGTTGACAAACATCAACCCACGAATCCCCATTTTGAAAAGTGCCCCGGCAATCCATTTTGTATTGGAATATCTTGGATCAGCTGAGAACGGCTTCATCTCATTGCAGCTCCTGAATTCCAGCTTTCTCCATCTCCGCTTTCACCTTGCTGCCGCAGTGTAGAACCGAAAATCAAGGGCTGCAGCAACGTGGAAGTCCCCTCCCCGGCATCCTGCAGCATCCTGCGACTCCCCGCTTCGGCGGACAAACCACACGTGCCCACCTGGATCGCGTCCAACATCTGTTGCATTGACAACACCTACAGTGACCTACTGGATCAACAGGGCTGATCCTGGAGGACCCAGCTGCCTCCGGAATGGTCAGGCGCAGTAGATCAGCACGGTTGTCCTGAGACATCGATGTATGAGGAGTATCAGGGGTTCACGGCTGCTTCATGTGCCCCATCCCCACCGAACCTGGTGCAACATGTACAGACATGTACAACTGAATAACCATCAACCCATCTGGCACAAACATTCACAAACAGACTAAGCCATTCCTATCCATTCATGGGATGATTTTTCTTACCATCTTTTGTAATATTTTGTGATGTCTCGGTGAGGTCATTGTAAATTTGCGACCAAATGGGGGCTCCTCCTCTACAAAACCGTGCTGCAGTAGCAAGGCATCGCTGTCCTGCCGGTCGCTGCGAAAAAAAAAAAAAAACAACTTGGAGCTGTGGCTTCGAAGTGATCCCTTGTCCTTGTCTCCATAGCTGAATACAATCTCTTCCCCGGGCTTGTACCTGACATCTGACTGACATCTGACATCACACCCAAAGTTCAAACTGGAACTCCTTGAAAAGTGATCGACATTCATTGACCAACCACTGGTGCTTCCAATCCCAAGTCCTTTCCACCTATCTTCATCCAGTTCTCAAATCGACCTCCCCAACCCCTCGGGCACGATCTGGTGGCTCTAAGTTCCCATATTCGGCTGGTGGGATCAAACTGCAAGTCGGGTGGCGCCTCAGTTGCAGCCACTTTCACCAAGTCACTCCTGTAGCGATGTAGTGATGCTGATCCATGGGGATTGAGCTGCCAACTCCACTGCGATGATTCACCTGGTCAACCATCGGAAGAAGCGATAGAACCTCAAATCATGAAGCGATGATCTCTAGACTGGAGGATACTGGAGCAACTCATTTCAAGCCAGACATTGAAAAACTGTTCAAAGCAGCCTGGTTTGCACAAGGGCACTTCGACCATTCGAGATGCAAAGAGATGCAAAGAGCTATGGGGAGGTTCCTGGAATTGGACATCGATTCTTTCTTTTTTCATGGAACTGGAATCGTACTGTCTTGTGAACTACTGTAGGATGTGACGCTCCCTGTACTGGACGTTGAGCTCTGGACGTTGGGACTCGGGCTCGTTGCCTCACCAAACCCGAGGGTCACGCAGTTGCCAGCGCTTGCATCTATTGCAATAGGGGGAATCTATATCATATTCCCCCAATGAATGTTTTCCCAATGGCATCTATTGCATCTTTCTCTTGCCAATATGAAATTACCCTAGATTGCCACCCAAAAATGCATATATATAGACGCAATAGATATCAATAGATATCAATAGATACGAAACCACCATTTAGAGGGGCGCAAAAGACAACCCTGTGGCCCTGTGAGGATGTGCCAAGGCTCTTCAAAATCCTGCACGAGCAGTTTGACATTCTGGACTCACAAGGGATTGAAAACATCATTTTCACATCTACCCTCCATAGGCCAAGCTACCACCACCACACTGGTAGCTGCCACTACAGCAGCTCCAGCAGTGGCCGCCACATCAACACCTGCCGTGGATGATGGCGAAAAGGGATTTGCCAAACAGAACATGGCTGGGCATTTCCTAGATACAAGTATTTGTTTCGTAGCATTTTGGTACGACAACACACCGAAACCCTGCTGGCAGCCAGGCTGGTTGAAGCATCCACTGGTCATGTCGTTTCTGATGGCACTGTGCTTCGAGTCCACTACTTGGGGGTGCAGTTGCGCTGTTGCACTTATAAAATTACCATGGTTGCACTTATTTTTACCATCTGGTTATTTAACATAGCCATGGAAAATCACCATTTTTAATAGGTAAACCCAGGTAAACCATCTATAAATGGGTCATTTGCCATGGCTATGTTAAATAACCAGAGGGTACCCCAAACTGCATCCCCAATTTGGTCATCCACGAGTTTGATGCAACCCCGGAATTGTCAAAACTCCAACACATGAAGGAAGCACTTGCAACTCCGACTGCTGCTGCTGCTCCGGCCGCCTGGGGTTCTAACATCTCATGGGGTACGGCGCGGTTGGGGTAGCTATAAAATGGGGCACTTCACCCCATTTAACTAGTAGATTATCTTGTGCAATATATACATTTATTATCATATAATCAGACAATATGACAAATATTCATGTACTTATGATAAATATGCATGTATATAATTGTATAGAGTATATATCGTATCTTGTATATATATATATATTGTATATATTATGTACATAGTACATTATATACATAGTACTGTATATCATATGCATAGTATATTATATACATGGTATAATATACATATATATATATAGGTATATTATATTACAGTATATATATATATACAGTATATCATATATAGTGTAATGTATCAGTCTAATATTCATAATTGTTGATGGGTGATGAGAAAAAAGGCTTTGGTTGGCTATCGCTGCATCTCAGGCACCAAGATGGACAGGCCGCCCACGGCTAGAGCTGCGCTGCGGCTGGCCGGAACTTCTCCCTGCGGGAAGGCCAAAAGGCCATAAAAAAAAAGGTGTTTTAATGGGATTTAATGGGGATATAACTATATAACTACCATCAGCCATGATGATTTTTTTCATAAACATGGGGAAATTACCCATGAACAGTAGGGATGTCACATGGGATATCTCATGGCAATGCTGAAACCCAGAAATCCACACACATTTCAGATTTGAGTAGAACCAGCCCATCTTTGGCCACTTGGACAGCACCTCATGCTGAACTTTGGTTTAAGAAAACTCCCTTGACCAACAGAACAATGTCGCCTCGCCAGAAAAAGCCCGAGACGCTGCCGCATGATGTGCTCGAAGGAAGAGATCCCGGGGGATCATCGCAGAAAGTCCTTCACGTTCCAAATCCTTGGATTTCATGTGCCCTCTGGTAATGACTAACATAGCTATAGAAAGATCCACCATTGTTAATAGGTAAACCATCTATTTCTATGGGTCATTTTCCATAGCTATGTTAGTTTACCAGAGGGTACATGAAAGTTTCCTAAAATAGTGGTACCCCCAAGCAAAATCAATTTTTATGGGATTTCAAAAAAAAAAAACTATGGAATGGGGTACCCCCCATTTATGGAAACCCGCACATGGCTATGTCTGAAAATGCTGAAAAAACATCTGTTTTTCCCGTTTTTTTCCCCCAGTAGATGGCCATTGAACAGGGAAAATGCCTCGGAATTGGGGGTACCCTATTTTCAGACAAACGAAAACATGTACATTGAAACAATGGGATTCAGCAATGGGACAATTCAGCAATTGTAAGATTACCCCTATGGATTCACCACACAAAAATCAAGCAAATCCAGGAATCTTCATGGGCCTTTTCCAAGGCTTTCTTTCTCGCCAGCGCACTGTCCGCCAATCGTTGTGGCAGGAATTTCAGGTCCTTCTCTGGCCACAGCCAGGGAGCATAGATCTGATCCAGAGGATACCTGGGCTCAATTGGGTTCATGTTCAACCACGAAGCGATCGGATTGAAGTCACTCTTGTGTTCCTATTCATTTGAAGTCTTCCTCAAAAAATAATGTATATATATATATTATACATAAAATATAATAGAATATATAATATAATATAATATAATATAATATAATATAATATAATATAATATATATAATATTATATATATATTATATAATATAGAATATAGAATATATAATATATAATATATAATACATAATATATAATATATAATATATAATAAGATAATATAATGCAATATAATATAATATAATAGAATACAATATATGATATATAATATATAATATATCATATATCATATATCATATATAAAATATAATATATAATATATAATATATCATAAGATAATAAGATAATATAATGCAATATAATATAATAGAATACAATATACAATATATAATATATAATATGTTATATAATGTATAATATATAATATAAAATATATGATATAATGTAAAATATATAATATATGATATAATATAAAATATATAATAAATGATATATAATAAATAATATAAAATATATAATGAATAATATATAATATATGATATAATATATAATAAATAATGAATAATATATAATATATGATATAATATATACTATGATATTTAATACAATACAATATATAATATAATATAATATGATATAATATAATACAATATATAGTATAATATAATATAATATAATGTAATGTAATATAATATAATATAATATATAATATATTATTACATAATTTCGCAGATGTTCCCAACCATGGACCCAGATACAGCATCTCGATGTAAGGACCAAAGCTTTCCCGTTGGGATACCAATTGCGCAGCCAATCGAATGGAGCTTCGCGGATGTCGCATCCACCAGCCCTCCAGTGCGCCGCTGGGTTTGGAGTCGTCCATGGTCACGGAGACGGCTGCAGCAGCTGGTAGTCGAACCAAAACTTCACCTGCAGGGGAATTGCCGTATCAACGCAACGATATCTGAGGAACCTTGCCTGGAAAAAAAAAGGATAAATCAATTGAATCTATCATCAATTCACTTTCTTTTGCTGATGGGTGATGAGGGAGAGGATCTCTTTATTTCGTTTATTCTCTCCTTCGTTCTTCATTCCCTTGTTTCCTTTCTTTTCTGCTTTCTTTCTTTCTTCCTTTCTTTCTGTCCTTTGTTCTTTCTTGGTGTTTGTTTATCCTGTTCTTTCTGTTATTTCTGTCCTTTGTTCTTGGCTCGGTCGGCCTGAAAACGCGCACTCTTTTGGACGCACTTCCCATAGGCACAGCGTGTTTTTGTGCATTGTTTACCACGTACATTGGTGTTTCGCGGGGTTGGACATGTATCACCTTGACAAAGACAACGCCTGGCTGCGAGAAGTGAAAAGCCAGATGGCGTCTGTCGGCGTGTTGAACAGATGTTGATTATATGTTGAATTTATGTTGAATAGATGTGAAGTATGTGTTGATTTTTTGTGGATTATATGTCGGATCTATGTTGACTAGATGTTGAATAGATGTGAAGTATGTGTTGATTTTTTGTGGATTATATGTCGGATCTATGTTGACTAGATGTTGAATAGATGTGAAGTATGTGTTGATTTTTTGTGGATTATATGTCGGATCTATGTTGACTAGATGTTGAATAGATGTGAAGTATGTGTTGATTTTTTGTGGATTATATGTCGGATCTATGTTGAATAGATGTGAAGTATGTGTTGAATTTATGTGGATTGTATATGTCGGATCTATGTTGACTAGATGTTGAATACGTGCTGAGTATGTGTTGAATTTGTGTGGATTATATGTCGGATCTATGTTGACTAGATGTTGAATAGATGTGAAGTATGTGTTGATTTTTTGTGGATTGTATATGTCGGATCTATGTTGACTAGATGTTGAATACGTGCTGAGTATGTGTTGAATTTGTGTGGATTATATGACGGATTTATGTTGATTAGATGTTGAATAGATGTTGAGTATGTGTTGAATCTATGTGGGTTATATGTCGAATTTATGTGGATTATATGTCGAATAGAATAGATGTTAGAGTCGAAGCAAATCAATGAACATTGGATTATGTTTATCATATATGGATGCCTGTCGGCGCGCGTTTACGAGACGACCGACCGTTGTTCTTTCTTGTTCTTTTCTGTTCTGCTTTCTTTCCTTTGTTGCTCCTTCCATTTTCCTCCTTTTTCCTTCCTTTCCTTTCCTTTTCCTTTTCCTTTTCCTTTTCCTTTCCTTTTGTTTCTCCTTTTTTCCCTTTCTTCTCTCTCTCTCTCTCTATGTTTCCTTTCTTTTCTCCTTCTTTTTTCCTTTCTTTTCTCCCTTCTTTTCTCCTTTGTTTTCTTCCTTTCTTTTCTCCTTGCTGTTCTCCTTTCTTTTCTCCTTTCTGTTCTCCTTTCTGTAATCCTTTCTGTTCTCCTTTCTGTTCTCCTTTCTTTTGTCCTTTCTTTTCTCCGTTCCTATCTCTCTTCTTATCTCTCTTCTTCTTTTTCTTCTTTTTCTTCTTCTTTTTCTTCTTCTTGTTCTTCTTTATCTTATTTTTATTTTTCTTCTTTTTCTTTTTCTTCTTTTTCTTCTTTTTCTTCTTTTTCTTCTGTTTCTTCTTTTTCTTCTTTTTCTTTTTTTTCTTCTGTTTCTTCTTTTTCTTTTTCTTCTTCTTCTTCTTCTTCTTTTTCTTCTTCTTCTTCTTCTGAATCCTTTGCGTTCTTTGGATGTGGTACTTAGTAAGATACAACCAGCGATAGTAAACGCGTGCTGCCTTTGTGGATTCACACAATCTCAGGAGGGTCCTGTACATTATTCAATACCATTGCCACAATTGCACAACTCTCTTGGTGGTTCATGGGGTACCACTGTACCATTATGGCAAAAATTGGGAATTGATCCTCTTGGGAACCGCATTCTTTGGAAGTGGTGCTAACTAAAACACGAAAAGCAGTACCAAAGGAGTGGTGCCTTCCTGGATTCACAAAAAACTCAGCAAAATCCTCCTGATCCTGAAAAAAATCAGCGAAAAATCCTTGCCACAATGCAGTACGAAATCCACCAATCACATGCCACAATTCAGTCCCATTCCACTACTTGGTACACAAAATTATGAAAGTTGAATGAGGTCGCATGATGTTGCACAAGTTTGGAGTTGTTTTATTGAGTCAGAACACAACGAAATTGATGAGCCATCAACAACTCCTTTGGTTCTAATTGGGGTGGCCCTCAGCTCCTTGTCAATTAACAACCAAGGTGCCCTTTTCAAGATCTTTGGTGCAAACTACACATCTTCCTTCTCCCTCAGAATCTGGCAAAATGTCCAGCTTGGGGGATGTTGTGATCGATGAGGCTCGCATCCAATCCATGAAGCGTTCTTTCACCTTTGGAGGCTTCAACCATTCAGAGAGCCAAATTTGACTCATAACTTCTCTCAACCACCGACGGTCATGCACCCAACACTGGCAAAAAACATACCGAATCGCCATACATAGCTGTGACTTTTAGTAGAATCTGTTGGGTGTCCTTTGTATCTTTGTAATGTTCCGGTCGACTTAATCATCCCCTCATCATTCACTCTTGGGTACCCCCAAAAGATGTTTTTAATATATATATATACATTGTTTCACTCCCAATTGCGACCATTGAATCACTACAAAACATGACCAGTCAATCTGGGGTCCGAAATGGGTCTTTGATTTTAATCGATACCTCTTCAGGTTTGTCCAACAACAGGGGTACATGAAAAAACTCATTGGGTCTACCATCATATGTCCCATCAAAGTTCAAAAAATCGGCCCCTTAATTCAATGTTTTATCCCACCGTTTTTCGGACATCTTTGGTCTTTGCCTATTGAACATGTTCGAACCGTCCGCCTCATCTGTCTTCCCTTCAGCGCGTTGAGGGATCCGTCGATGGCACTTCTGCCTTCGGTGCACTCTTTGGCTGCAAAGTCGGTGGCTTGCAGCGGCACTGGCAGCGGCACTGGCACTCAGTAGAACCACCTGGTTCCAAGATCGAGGTACCAACTTTGGGTGCAGCTGGGGTGAAAACAGGAGGTAGAACATGTTAGAACATGGGCGATAACATCCATAAGTTGCGATATGGGGCCCCTATCATTGTGCATATATATATATATATATCCACATTATAAGCGGAACTGCACCCCAAGTACCAATGGGTCCCCAAATCCCAAGAATAATGGCTGTTGGGGATTTATCCAACACTGATGATATGGGGAATGTGGGGATACATATATATATAATATATGTATATATTCATATATAATCTATACATAATATATAATTATATATATATAGTGATGGATTGTATTGGTGGAGAACTGTCCCATAAATGAACATCACTGAACCATTGATACAAGTGATGTTGATTCAAAATCCCCGCAACATAGGATATTTCCCAACCCTGGTACCAATGGACCCCCCAAAAGAATAAGGCTGGTCATCTTGTGTCTTGGAACATATCGGCCTGGTGGTGTTCAACTTAAGCATCTCCTCAAAATAATCAAAACTATGCCTTGATTGCGCTCCTCATCCCCCTGTTCAGCCGTGAAAAAATCAAAGATGTTTCAAGCCACCTAGCAAATATCCAACACATCCCAATACATCCAACCAAATCTATCCCAACATCCAAAAACATTCTAACATTCTTGAACTCTCCAAGTTTGAAGGGTCTCAACGTGTCTCAATCCTTCAATGTCCCACCTTATGGCGCTGTGGTCTTTGCACCCATCCAGTGGAGGGAGCCCAAGCAGGGACCAAGCTCGGCGGAGCCACCAGCATGAGCGCCGCCAGATTCACCGTGCAAAGGATGTCATGGTCTACTGACGACTGGATGAAATTTGGGGTAGCCCCATGACTTGGGAAACCTCCGATACCGGATCATGGCGACAGCAGTTCTGTCATCACTGCCATCCATTTGGTCTATTTGGTCTCATGCACACTCCTATTTTATAGAAGTCCCGTGGGGGCGTAAATTTCCACTGATATCAATTCTGGGATAACTTGAATCACCCCGCCATGGCCTTGGCATATGCAAGTGATACACGAAGCAGCCCCTTCTTGTGTCTTGGGATTCCCATGGCCAAATTCAGGCTGCAGAAATATGCAGGAATTAATTAAATGAACAAAGATGCCAAATTCTTGCAGTGAAACAACACTCAATTCAGGAATAGCAACTGTCATGGCTGCAACATGTTTCGTATTACATTTCATACGCTGCGTGCTCTTTGCGCAGGCCTCCAAAAGCGGGCGAGTCTGTTTCAGACCGCCTGAATTCGGAACACGTCGTATGCGCAATGGATTCGACCATCATCGCTAGTTCCGATTATGTACAAGAAATCATTCACTTCGGCCCAAATGCTGAGCAGCGACTTTTTTTATCAGGTGAAACATTGCTTGAACCAGATTTCAGGTTACAAGCTCATGGAATGTCTTGCTCTTCCCACTCCTGGCCAACTCCAAAAGCTTTGGTGCTTGCCAAGTATCGAGGTTTCCTGAAACCGGGATTGACCTTTGGCGGTTTTCCCATGGTTTTCCCCATGTTTTTGTTGCATGATTTTGGACCTCATACCTCAACTACCCTCTGGTAATTTAACATAGCTATTGAAAATGACCATTTATAGTGGATTTTCCCATTGAAAATGGTGATTTTCCATAGTTATGTAAACGTTTACCAGAGGGTACCTCAACATCTACGGTGCTGGAGGTCTTCCGATTTCAGCACCTGCTCCAGCAGGGCTTGGGCCTTCTGATTTTCCTGGCCATGGTCCGATGGTCTCATGGTGAGTCACTTCCCATGGCAACATCGGAAGGGATAGGATCATCGGAGAATCGGATCAGGTACCCTGGTCAAGTTCCTATAAGCTTTCTGAAAAAAATCTGAAATAGCTGGCAAATGCATGTTCTACCCCCCAAAAATAGGGTACTGTTGACGGCGGGTGACATCCATCCCCATTTCAAGAACTCGAAACCACCAATCTGGAATGGTCGATTGGATCAAAAATGTCTAAACATTAAACAACCACCCAGGGAGGAATCCATGGGCTCCAAGTCTGCCCGGACAAGCTTTGTTCCAAGGTGTTCCAAGCATGCCAGCACAGACATCAACTCTCTTCATTGCTTGCTCCAGTCCAATGATGTCGGCATACATCTGCAAGCACAGAGCTCTTCAAAGTCACCAGCTCCCAGAATTCTGGTTCGGCTTTTTGGCTTGAGGCTGATCAAGATAAACAAATTGTTTGAAATCGCTCCAGTTGTCTGAATCATCGCAAGTCAACAGATTCTGTGAGATTTGAACCAAAGACTGATCGTCCATCACAAATTGGACCCTCAGATAATCCTGCCTGGTCCCGATATTGCGAGGTCGTAAACTTGTGGTCTGAGCATAGGATAGCGGTTCGGAAAGCGCCAAAACCCCATGGCAAATTTTGTGTCCCTCTCAGGTCGCAGCTGTCTTGCAGGGTTAGCTCAAGTCTTTGTCCAAAGACCTGAGACATTCTGGAAACTCAGAGGATTCCCATGGATCCCCATGGATTTCCTAAAAGATCCTTTGCTCATCTTGATCCCATGGATCCCATGCTTATCATGGCTTATCTTGATGCCTCAAGTCTGATCCACTGGTATTTGAAGCGCAAGGTTTTGGCAGCAGTACTCCCCGATATCTACCATGCCCCAACATGGCAGGACCCTGTAGAGGAAGTCTCTTCCAAACCCATTCTGAATTTCTTCGGGGTTGCACATGAGTTGTCCCGGCCCAACAACACATTTCACCACAGACCAAGACCCAAACGGGCTCCGCATCGGGGTCATGGAATGCGGACAAGTACGGATGTCGTAAAGCCTGGCAAAAATTGATGTCTTATGAGCCCCATGGCAACAAACAAAAACATACAAAAACAGTTTCAGATTTCATAGCCGCATTTCGAACGACTAACTAAACCCAATCCTCAGGACTTAACATATGGATTCACGACACCAACATTCCAATCCCTTGATTAAACACCCGCCAAACATGCCCTCAGACAGCCCGTCGCAATCAGTCTCATCAGCAATCAGTGGAAGGAGAAGTACAATTGCGCTTTTCATCCCAGGCATTCCAACCAATCCACTTAGAATCCGCTCACTCTCTTCAAGCTTCCCATGCTACTGGTCTACCTGCAATCAACATCGCTCCAAGAGAATTGTGTTCACGAAGCGGCAAGCACTACTTACATCTACTTACAGTAGTCACCAGTTTCCGTCCCTGTTTCTGCATGTCAATAGCCAAGAATGCCCTCAGACAGCCCGTCGCAATCAGTCTCATCAGCAATCAGTGGAAGGAGAAGTACAATTGCGCTTTTCATCCCAGGCATTCCAACCAATCCACTTAGAATCCACTCACTGTCTTCAAGCTTACCATGCTACTGGTCTACCTGCAATCAACATCGCTCCAAGAGAATTGTGTTCACAAGCGGCAAGCACTACTTATACTTACAGTAGTCACCAGTTTCCGTCCCTGTTTCTGCATGTCAATAGCCAAGAATGCCCTCAGACAGCCCGTCGCAATCAGTCTCATCAGCAATCAGTGGAAGGAGAAGTACAATTGCGCTTTTCATCCCAGGCATTCCAACCAATCCACTTAGAATCCACTCACTGTCTTCAAGCTTACCATGCTACTGGTCTACCTGCAATCAACATCGCTCCAAGAGAATTGTGTTCACAAGCGGCAAGCACTACTTATACTTACAGTAGTCACCAGTTTCCGTCCCTGTTTCTGCATGTCAAAGGCCACAAATGCCCTCAGACAGCCCGTCGCAATCAGTCTCATCAGCAATCAGTGGAAGGAGAAGTACAATTGCGCTTTTCATCCCAGGCATTCCAACCAATCCACTCAGAATCCGCTCACTCTCTTCAAGCTTACCATGCTACATGTCTACCTACAATCAATATCGCTCCAAGAGAATTGTGTTCACGAAGCGGCAAGCACTACTTACATCTACTTACAGTAGTCACCAGTTTCCGTCCCTGTTTCTGCATGTCAATAGCCAAAAATGCCCTCAGACAGCCCGTCGCAATCAGTCTCATCAGCAATCAGTGGAAGGAGAAGTACAATTGCGCTTTTCATCCCAGGCATTCCAACCAATCCACTCAGAATCCACTCACTCTCTTCAAGCTTACCATGCTACTGGTCTACCTGCAATCAATATCGCTCCAAAAGAATTGTATTCATAAAGATGCAAGCACTACTTACATCAATCTACTTGCAGTAGTCACCAGTTTCCGTCCCTGTTTCTGCATGTCAAAGGCCAAGAATGCCCTCAGACAGCCCGTCGCAATCAGTCTCATCAGCAATCAGTGGAAGGAGAAGTACAATTGCGCTTTTCATCCCAGGCATTCCAACCAATCCACTCAGAATCCACTCACTCTCTTCAAGCTTACCATGCTACTGGTCTACCTGCAATCAACATCGCTCCAAGAGAATTGTGTTCATGAAGCGGCAAGCACTACTTACATCTACTTACAGTAGTCACCAGTTTCCATCTCTGTTTCTGCATGTCAATAGCCAAAAATGCCCTCAGACAGCCCGTCGCAATCAGTCTCATCAGCAATCAGTGGAAGGAGAAGTACAATTGCGCTTTTCATCCCAGGCATTCCAACCAATCCACTCAGAATCCACTCACTCTCTTCAAGCTTACCATGCTACTGGTCTACCTGCAATCAATATGGCTCCAAAAGAATTGTGTTCATGAAGACGCAAGCACTACTTACATCTACTTACAGTAGTCACCAGTTTCCGTCCCTGTTTCTGCATGTCAAAGGCCAAAAATGCCCTCAGACAGCCCGTCGCAATCAGTCTCATCAGCAATCAGTGGAAGGAGAAGTACAATTGCGCTTTTCATCCCAGGCATTCCAACCAATCCACTCAGAATCCACTCACTCTCTTCAAGCTTGCCATGCTACTGGTCTACCTACAATCAACATCGCTCCAAGAATTGTGTTCATGATTCAGCAAGCACTACCAGTTTCCGTCCCTGTTTCTGCATGTCAATAGCCAAGAATGCCCTCAGACAGCCCGTCGCAATCAGTCTCATCAGCAATCAGTGGAAGGAGAAGTACAATTGCGCTTTTCATCCCAGGCATTCCAACCAATCCACTCAGAATCCACTCACTCTCTTCAAGCTTACCATGCTACTGGTCTACCTGCAATCAATATCGCTCCAAGAGAATTGTGTTCACGAAGCGGCAAGCACTACTTATACTTACAGTAGTCACCAGTTTCCGTCCCTGTTTCTGCATGTCAATGGCCAAGAATGCCCTCAGACAGCCCGTCGCAATCAGTCTCATCAGCAATCAGTGGAAGGAGAAGTACAATTGCGCTTTTCATCCCAGGCATTCCAACCAATCCACTTAGAATCCACTCACTGTCTTCAAGCTTACCATGCTACTGGTCTACCTGCAATCAACATCGCTCCAAGAGAATTGTGTTCACGAAGCGGCAAGCACTACTTATACTTACAGTAGTCACCAGTTTCCGTCCCTGTTTCTGCATGTCAATAGCCAAGAATGCCCTCAGACAGCCCGTCGCAATCAGTCTCATCAGCAATCAGTGGAAGGAGAAGTACAATTGCGCTTTTCATCCCAGGCATTCCAACCAATCCACTCAGAATCCACTCACTCTCTTCAAGCGTACCATGCTACTGGTCTACCTGCAATCAATATCGCTCCAAGAGAATTGTTTTCACCAAGCAGCAAGCACTACTTACATCTACTTACAGTAGTCACCAGTTTCCATCTCTGTTTCTGCATGTCAAAGGCCAAGAATGCCCTCAGACAGCCCGTCGCAATCAGTCTCATCAGCAATCAGTGGAAGGAGAAGTACAATTGCGCTTTTCATCCCAGGCATTCCAACCAATCCACTCAGAATCCACTCACTCTCTTCAAGCTTACCATGCTACTGGTCTACCTGCAATCAATATGGCTCCAAAAGAATTGTGTTCATGAAGACGCAAGCACTACTTACATCTACTTACAGTAGTCACCAGTTTCCGTCCCTGTTTCTGCATGTCAAAGGCCAAGAATGCCCTCAGACAGCCCGTCGCAATCAGTCTCATCAGCAATCAGTGGAAGGAGAAGTACAATTGCGCTTTTCATCCCAGGCATTCCAACCAATCCACTCAGAATCCACTCACTCTCTTCAAGCTTACCATGCTACTGGTCTACCTGCAATCAATATCGCTCCAAGAGAATTGTTTTCACCAAGCAGCAAGCACTACTTACATCTACTTACAGTAGTCACCAGTTTCCATCTCTGTTTCTGCATGTCAAAGGCCAAGAATGCCCTCAGACAGCCCGTCGCAATCAGTCTCATCAGCAATCAGTGGAAGGAGAAGTACAATTGCGCTTTTCATCCCAGGCATTCCAACCAATCCACTCTCTCTCTCTCTCTTTCTCTCTCTCTCTCTCTCTCTCTTTTTCTCTTTTCAAGCTTGCCATGCTACTGGTCTGCCTGCAATCTATATCGCTCTAAGAGCATTTCATTCACAAAGTGCAAAGTTCTTGGTTTCAGCACAGGTTTCAAAAATAAGGAAGAAGGCCATCAGGATACAGGTCCGCACGTCTTGTTTTTGTTCATGCTTTTATGGTCTTACTGATGTTTTCTTGGGGCTGCACGTGGTATTCGACACTCATTGGAAGTCCGTTTGGTCACATTGTCGATACTACAAAACCTGCACCTCGGGAGATAGATTATGTATTCAGAATGAATGCAATATCTACGGTGCAGGTTCAACTGCCCACCAGTAGTCAATTCAACTTATCATTGGTTTAGTCTGGGAATGTCTGGGATGGGAAACCATCCAGAGACCTGGACCCACTAACCATCACTTCCTGTGGTTTCACCATGTCCCAAGTCCCAAACCCCAGAAATCCCAGGCACCTCCATAGCCGTCAGCCGCTTCATCGGATTCCACTGACGCAAACGTGGCGAGAAAGACACTGCCGGCTATGGATAATGGTCCATTTAGATCCATTTAGTTCGATGATTTACCTGGTTAAAGTAGTTAAAATGTTGATGTCATTTGATGTCCATAATCATGTTCAATCACCAGAGGGTGAAGAAATGATTGTTTTTAAAAAAATACGTCCTCCAGGTTTTCACTTCAATGAACTCCGGGAACTGGAGATTGATCTTTGGTGCCATGGCTTTGCAGTGGTTGTTAACCCACTCACACCGGAGATAGTGAAGCTAAATGAGCTAAGATGTGATGAGGGAAATTTTGACTGTTGGATGTACAACCCATGGTATGACTCCGCTCAAAATTTGAGGTACCGACACGGAGCAGACTACATTGATCAGGTCGGGTTGAACATGGTGAACCCATGCACAACGTGGCCAATCATTTGGAGCCATTCGGTTATGTGATCACAAGGTTACCCCAAAAATCGGAGGCTGCCATATGTCAGCATTTGACTGTAGATTTCAGTCACAGGAAATCATCTTATGGTTTTGCCATTTTCGGAACCCATCATGTTTTTGTACATGGCACCATAGCACCTGAAAGCAAAGCTCCAGCAGATCATTGAGCACTGCTGGGCAGCTGGGGATCATCTCAGCAAATGTGAGAGTTGGCCTCAATGGTGTCATGGTGCATTGGGGGTGCCATAGGGCTTCCATGGTCGCGAGATACCATGGCCGTGCTAAGGTTCTGGCAGAGAAATCGGAAGCTGGCCCAAGGACATGTGTCCATAGGGAGCCTTGAAGCGCCCAAAAAAAAGTGACGGAAACCAGATGCAAAAAGAGTCGCTGGAATCACATTAGGTTGTGTCCCCTATTCAAAAAACAGGGATAACCGGATACCTTAAAAAAAATGGTCAGCAACCAAAACTGCATCTAATTTGGAAAGAATCTATTCACTGACTATTTTGGATGGTTTGAATCCAGTTTACACCAATTTCTGGTGGGTCATTGAGAGATTGGGGATGGTTTCTCTCTTGGTGTTTGCCATGTATGATACATCAAGTTACCCCAATTATACCGGATTGTTCTGTCGAGAGATATATTGTCGACCATGTTTACACCCCAATTATTATACCCCCAAATCCGACCATTATTATCATCCATTATATATACCCAATGAATACATTATATAATCAGTGTCCATTAACAACTATAAAAACATTATATATATATCATGACATGATCATATCATCCCGTGATCTTATCATCCTCTCTGAAACGCAGCCTGTAAAACATCCCACTATTGGATATTCTTGATATTTTTGATGCAACTCCAAATCATTTCACCCAAAAAGATTCTGCAAATTGACTGGTGGATTCTGGTGGTTGGCCAAGAGGGAGACCAAGTCTCAAATTACCCTCTGGTAATTTAAGAGTTTGCTATTGAAAATGGCCAGTGATCGTTGATTTTCATATGAATGGTGAGTTTCCATAGCAAACTGTTAGTTTACAGGAGGGTAATCCCCTACTAAATCCCATTCAACCTCATTAATCCTCTATTTTCTTGCTCCCCCATGGAACCATGTGCCCCTCTGGACCTGCATTGCATCCACATCAGCCTCCAAAGGCGTCCCCAGGAGTTCCACCTTAGCGTTGGATCATGATGGATGTCCAAGGCATCCATGGATTTCCCCCTGGTTTTATTCAAATCTTACTGATTATGATGATGATGATGATGATGGTGATGGTGAGGGTGATGCTGATGGTGATGGTGATGATGAAGATGATGAAGATGATGATGATGATGATGATGATGATTATGATTATGATGACGATGATGATGAGGATGAAGATGAAGATGGGGATAAAGAAGAAGAAGAAAAAGAAGAAGAAGATGATGATGATGATGATGGTTATTGGTGATGGTGATGGTGATGATGATGATGATGATGATGATGATGGTGAGGGTGATGCTGATGGTGATGGTGATGATGAAGATGATGAAGATGATGAAGATGATGATGATGATGATAATAATCAGGATGGTGATGGTGATGGTGATGGTGATGGTGATGATGATGATGATGATGACGACGATGACGATGACGACGGCAATGACAATGACGATGATGATGGTGGTGGTCGTGGTGGTGATGGTGATGGTGATGGTGATGATGATGATGATGATGATGATGATGATGATGGTGGTGATGGTGGAAGTGATGGTGATGGTGATGATGAAGATGAATATGAACATGGTGATGGTGATGATGATGATGGTGATGGTGATGGTAATGATAATGTTGATGATGAAAATGATGATGTTGATGATGTAGGTGATGGTGATGATGATGGTGATGGTGATGATGATGATGATGATGATGATGATGGTGATGATGATGGTGATGATGATGATGAATGATGATGATATGATGATGATGGATGATGATGGTGGTGGTGATGATGACGATGATGGTGATGATGAAGATTGGTGATGGTGATGGTGATGGTGATGGTGATGGTGATGGTGATGATGATGATGATGATGATGATGATGATGATGATGATGATGACGGTAACGATGGTAATGATGGTAATGATGGTAATGATGGTAATGATGGTGGTGATGGTGATGATGATGATGATGCTGGTGGTGATGATGATTATGGTGGTGATGGTGGTGATGATGGTGATGATGATGATGGTGATGGTGATGGTGGTGGTGATGGTGATGATGATGATGAAGATGAATATTATAAATTATGAAGATTATGATGATGATGATGATGATGGTGATGATGATGATGATGGTGGTGGTGGTGGTGGTGGTAATGGTGATGGTGATGATGATTGTGATGATGATGATGATGATGATGATGATGATGATGATGATGATGATGATAATCAGGATGGTGATGGTGATGGTGATGATGAAGATGAACATGGTGATGATGGTGATGATGATGATGATGATGATGATGATGAGAATAATGATAATGATGGTGATGGTGATGATGCTGGTGATGATGCTGGTGATGATGATGGTGATGATGATGATGATGATGATGGTGATGGTGGTGGTGGTGGTGATGATGATGATGATGGCCATGGTCATGGTCATGGTCCTGGTCATGGTCATGGTCATGGTCATGGTCATGGTGATGGTGATGATGATCATGCTGATGGTGATGGTGATGGTGATGCTGCTGATGACGATGATGACGATGATGATGATGATGATGATGACGATGATGATGATGATGATGATGGTGATGGTGACGATGACGATGACGATGACGATGACGATGATGATGACGATGATGATGATGATGATGATGATGATGGTGATGATGCTGGTGGTGATGGTGATGATGGTCATGATGGTCATGATGGTCATGATGGTCATGATGGTGATGGTGATGGTGATGGTGGTGATGATGATGATGATGGTGATGATGCTGGTGATGATGCTGGTGGTGGTGGTGATGATGATGATGCTGATGCTGATGCTGATGCTGATTCTGATGATGTATCTGCAATTATGTTTGGTGTGTTTTTTGCAACCATGAAGAAACTTTCTCCTTTGAGACAACTTTTGGCATTCTCTTTGCAGCTTCGGACTCGGACAATGTTGTGCATCATGTCAATGGTTGAGGAGCCCTTGAGGACCGGCTTCTGGCAGTTGCTGACGATCATAGTCAGATCAAGCCATTCAAAGATGATGTCAACTTGTCATCCCGGAACGCGATGGGTGGAAAGGTAATGAACATTTAAAACCATCAACCGGAAGTCATCGTTCGCAGTGACAGATGTCAATTGAATGGGCAACTCATTCAGGTTGGGAGTGGAACCACTCCCCCAAGACAAGCAGTGGCTGACCCCGAGGTGCATTTCCCCAACGATACATCCCCAGGCCCAAATATCCACCGCAGTGAAGTAGTATCTGCGGCGATGCGATGTGGAGTGGATTCTGTCAGCTGGATTCAACCTTTTTAGAAGAAAGTCTGCCTTGCTGGCTCTGGCAGTCGCATATCGTCGCATCAAAAAGCCCTTCTGGCCATCTATTTCCAACTTGTTTTCTTTGTTGATTTCTCCCACATCCTGAGAAATCTCGGAGAAAATGGAGTGGTTTCCAGGTTTTTTCAGGAAATCCATGGCTTTTGGCCAAGTTTTACCCCCAAATCTCGGGCTTTCCTGAAGTCCGGCCGAGTTCACTGCCTGGCACCCAAGAGTTGTTCTGGACTTCGGTACCTCGTTGAAAGAGAATCCACACCGGCGAAGCCCAACCCCCAGGGGAAGTTTGAAAAATCAAAAGAGCTGGCATGAGCTGGCATGAGCTGGCATGAGCTGGCATAGCTGGATGCTCGTCCATCAAAATGTAGAAATGTGAGGGTTTTGAGTTTAACATTTTGTAACCCATGTCACCCATACTCAAATCCTCAGTTCCACAGTTCGTTCCCCAGGCACCACCGTGGCCCAATGTAGTCCGTAAGCATAGCCATGTCCTGGCGCGAGAAGTGTGACGGCTGGACCTGGTTTTATGATGGTTGTTATGCCACTTGGGGCCCAAAAATGTGAGTTGTTGAATGTGGATCCGCATGCTTTTAGTGGATTGAACATAAACAGGATTTGGAAATTGAAAATCTATATGTCCATACGAGTCCATTCTGTATTGGCGAGAGCGACAGCTTCATCAAATCGCCCGGATGGTGCAAGTTAAGCCAGCCAGAGTTTCTCCAGTCGAAGCTTCATAGGGCCTGGCTTAGCATGATCAGCGGAGTCCACTCTGTCTAACCCCTTGGCTTGGCAACCTCCCAATATCTCCTCATCACAGGGCAAGGAACGCACTTCGGATCACTTGGGTACCTTTTTTCCATCTTTTTCCAACTCGTCCTTGGCATCCTCAGTCTGCCTTTGCCGTGTCAAGCATCACACGCTCGTTGCTCGCTCGTTGCTCGCCCGTTGCTCGCGATCTCTGAGTCTCGCTGAGGCACTGCCACTGGCACTGGTCATTCTGGCGGTTGTGCGTCATTGCGTCATTTCTTGATGATATACAGCACCCTAGCCTTCACACAAGCATGCCCTTCCTTGTCGTAGATGGTGGTGTTCAGGAAGACTTTCCTGACACCACCGAAGAAAGCCCGAGCCCTTGGGCCTCCACCATCATCGGCTTGGGAAAAAATGCACAAAATGATGGATTTTTGACAATCTAACCATAGATTTTTCCGCACACTTATGCCACGTGTGCGCCCGAAGAACATATCCCATTCTTGCTGGGATGTGAACAGCAGCCACCGTTCACAATGTTTGAATTAACAGCATTTTCCAGATATCAAGCTAGTGACTGATAATATCTGATATGTTCATATAATTTCCTCCAAAACCCCAGTGATCCACTTCATCCTCCCGTGAAAAACATCAAGTTCCACTACCTTCAGAACACCCAGATTCCATAAGTGGCCTCAGGCTCTCCAGGGGTCTATATGGTCTATTGGAATTTCTCGAGATATCAAGTTAGTGACCAATAACTCGGCCTAGTAACTACGATATCCAGGAAAAAAACAGTTATCCACTTCATCCTCCCATGGAAAAACATGCAAAAATCCACCAGCGACCGGGAGTCTTTTGCCTCTCGACCTTATCGACACAAACATCCACCAGGTACTCCGAGTTCACCGGTAGGGGCCGCCGGTAGCTCAGATCGATGTGCGCCGTGAAGACCTTGATGTTCTTACCGAGGCCCTGGGAGGTCCGTTTTTGATGGGCCATGGTAGAACTTGTTGGTTAATGTGGTTTGTATATGAGTTATAGTACAGTTATGTACACTTATAGTATGCTTTTGAAGTTAAGTATTGCTGTTTGTTTCAAACAAAACTACGAGGGAAATCGTTGTTTTGACCCACAAAAACAAAGGGGGTTCCTGCTGATTTTCCATTTTCCCGGGCCATGGTAAACTTCCCCGGTTTGTGATGGTATCATTGGAATATATATATATACATATATATATATATGTATAATCACAACGTCCTGAATGGTATTGTTCATGAAAAGGTATCATCAACATTGATCAACCAAATAGTTATTAGCAAATACAATGTCGAACAAGATATTCTGTCTCAGGATGCCACGCATTCATGCGCATTCCGGATCAACCCCAGTCCTGCGCATCTTTCTCCATCCTTAGGCAGTGGAGGAGAAAGGATTTGCGGCTGTCTGGAAATGGACGCCCCCGATCTATGGCCGCTGGCCATTTCAATGAAAAAAGCGATGATCAACAATCAAGGTTTCCTCAAAATTCGAGGTTTTCCGAGGGTTTCCCATCATTCTCAGAGAAAATCCTTTTACAGATTTCTACGGTAGGTTACCCTACCATCTGACCACGTTTTACTAAGAATTCAACAAGTCACCATGAGGCCAGACCAGTGAAGTCATCCACGATAGCAGATGTGAAGCCGCCATGCAGCAAACCTGGATGACCATTCAGCTCCTTGGCGCCAAATCTGCCTGTTCTTTATCTGTGGCTATGAACCAAAACCCGCCCTGGTACCCCCTAAATAACCGCTCTTCGTAAATTCACTCCAAGCAGATTTCGACCTGAGAACCTGAGGCCTAAGTTGAGTGAGTTGCAAAGGCTCAATGCAGCTGCAGGTAAGCTTGCTAGTGCAGCAGGGGCGCGTTGCCCACCCGAATGACCTTGGGAAGTCATGTGGGATCTCAAGATGCTGTGATACAGGAGATCAAACACCAGTCCCAACACAACTTCCTTCTTTCACAACGTACAAATCTTCTCCGACTGCCACATTGTTGCAACACTTCTAATGGACAATCATATAGTTTTGGTAGGGCAATTCAACAGGAACCCATCGGCAGGACGAGGTTTTACCTCGAAGCAATAAACCCATTTGTTTCACAAGTCGGCCTAGGTCAAAGATGGTCAAAGTGGTCAAAGTATCAAACACGTTTGGCATGGGTATACATGGCTACCTTGGGATTAATCTGTACTGCCCAACGTATGGTCATGGAAATGGATCAAAATTGGGTCCCATAATCTGTGATGCTACGGGTGTTGGAAATTTTCACCACCTGTCCACCCTCCTGGGCGTCTCACCGCGCAAATCCTCGTCTTGCCCTCCACCGTCTCAGGCGCATCCAACGACACTTCACGATCCACGTCACCGCGCTGGCAGTGGTAGAATTTCAAATCCTCCAGAGACACACATGGTTTATAATGAATAATATAGTAGTTTATAGTGATCAATAACGGCTTATATCATCCTTTTTTATGATTACTATTCTTGATGATGATTAATCAATGATTGCTAATGATCAATACAGCAATGTTTATAATGATGTATAATCAAGTACAATGTTGATACATTTATTTGATGGATTTCACACAAACACAAAAAAACAAAGAGACACCGGTAAACATATGAGGCTTCTTCAGACATACTTGGGCGCTCCTCAATCTTGCCAGGCCCATAGTTGGTGTGCCAAATAAACTGCTTGTTTACTCCTGGGCCATGACGACTGGACTGCCCCTCCCGAAGTTGGGTTTTCACATGGGCAGAAAGCGAAGAAACTGGCACTCCAACGTGGTTTAACGTCTTGGGTTTTGGTGGTTTAACCAAGAATTGGTGGTCCCCCTGTTCCCCCACTTTATGGCCATACTATGGCGGCCATACCGTGGCCACAGCAGAAACTTCCCTTCATACAACTGGCAGAAACATCAGCCACGCAGCGATTTTTCTGCTTGAGACCGTCGAGGTCCAAAAGCCTTGCTTCCTGGCGATCCAACCCTGGAACTGGCTCTGTTAATTTTGGAACCCAGTTGGATTAAGTAAGTTTGATAACAGTGTATGTATGTATATATACATATAGCCCTACATAAATATATATATATATGTGTGTGTGTTTGTTTGTTTTTGTGTTTATATATCATTAGTAATAATAATAATAATAGTAATAGTAATAATAAAATAATAATAGTAATAATAATAACAACAACAATAATACTAGTAGTACTAATAATAAATAATAATAGTAGTAATAATAAATAATAATAATAATAACAATAATAATAACAATAGTAATAATAACAATATTAATAATGATATAATAATGACCTAATAACAATTTTAATATGATAATAATAATAATCTATGATAACCGACCCAAAATTGGTGCATAATTCTTCCCAATCTAAGCCCACATTTGTTATAAAACCCAATACGGTAATCATTTAAGGTGGGATGGATGGATGGATGGATGGATGGATGGATGGTTCAATCCACCAACCTGGTGGGATACTCTCTACAAGCGATACCGGCGCTTGATCAGGTCCCCTCCAGGCATCAGCGCCTTCCCAAGATGATGCTGCCACAAATCTTCCTCGGCCCTGACCTCACGAATCAGCGCAGGGTCGGAGCTGTCTATTCAAGAACCCCATAAAATTTACAGGAAACGATCCAAAAAAAGATTGATTGAGAAGATCCTATACTAAATTTAATCTTTCTGAGGACCTTGGTATTTTGGAAAAAGTGCCTTCAGGTTTGCATCGAACAAGGACAAACGCACTCGACAAGTCTGTCGTTGCTGTCTTTTGCTGTGCTTTTTAATATTGGTTTCGCTCCATTTGGTCAGGCTCGTTACCATGATGTGCTGTGCTCTTGTGTGGATTTTGCATATGAGCAATGGCAAGATTTGGAAAGAGACTAATGCTCGGTTCAGCCGCAACATATCTGTTGGCGTCTTTTCTGGAAAGGCATGCTAAAAGCAAAGAAATGTGTTGCACAACCTGAAATGTGCAAACTTTTGCATCCTTTGCCCCTGTAATATCCTTCGAGTCGGAAGTTTGACCACCGGTCGGGGTTGTGAGGCCTGACGAAATTGCCATCCAGCATAGGCCCCAGCAGTCACAGCTAGACCTTGCCGACAGGATCTGCACGGGAGGTGCAAACAAAACCTGACCAAGTAGAAGCCTAAACATCCAAAAATGGCTGAACTCTACACGTTTTCCCTTGCTACCAAGAGTCAGCTGCTCAAGTAGGGACGTGCCTCGTACATCGAGCAGCACAATGGATGATTCAGATTTTATATCTTTTAAGCTCCCCTGAAAAAGCAACATGAACACACCAAAAATGCGGTAAGATGATGGATTTCCTCCTGGAAATGGTCACATTGCATCGGCCTTCAGATGTTTCCAGTGCTTCAATTCCCTGGAGTTCGGTAAGTTTGCCGTCAAGCCACAGCAGGTTTTGTGCCCAAAGGCTTCAAAGCCCTAATCAGCGCCATTGCTCCGAGCGACTTTTCGCTTGAGACGCTGAAACAGGCGATATCTCTCCCAATTTGCCACCAGGAATCTCCAAAACGAGTAGCAAAACTGCCACATGCAAACGTGTACCCTTCCGTAATGAAACATCGCAATGGGAATTCTCTATGAACGGAGATTTCACCAAAGAAAGTCATTTATAGATGGGGATTTTCTTCCATTGCCATGTTCTATTGCAGCCGAATAAACTATGTCAAGCCCCCGTTCGACGCGCCAATCAACAACATCGCCGAGCCCACGATGACCGCGCCAACCCAAAGTCACCAACTAGGACCTGTGCGGAGGCCATTGGAGGCGCCCGTGCCATTGGAGGTTTGTCAATGGAGCACCCCCCAATTCAAACTTATTATCGTCATACCATATCATATTGGTATATATATATATACAATATGACGGTGAGTTTAATCATATAATGTATCTGTATGTATGTATGTATGTATGTATGTATGTATGTATGTATGTATGTATGTGTATGTGTGTATGTGTGTATGTGTGTATGTGTGTATGTGTGTATGTGTGTATGTGTGTATGTGTGTATGTGTGTATGTGTGTATGTGTGTATGTGTGTATGTGTGTATGTGTGTATGTGTGTATGTGTGTATGTGTGTATGTGTGTGTATGTGTGTATGTATGTGTGTATGTGTGTATGTGTGTATGTGTGTATGTGTGTATATGTGTATGTATGTGTGTATGTGTGTATGTGTGTATGTGTGTATGTGTGTATGTGTGTATGTGTGTATGTGTGTATGTGTGTATGTATGTGTGTATGTGTGTATGTGGGTATGTGTGTATGTGTGTATGTGTGTATGTGTGTATGTGTGTATGTGTGTATGTGTGTATGTGTGTATGTGTGTATGTGTGTATGTGTGTCTGTGTGTATGTGTGTATGTGTGTATGTGTGTATGTGTGTATGTGTGTATGTGTGTATGTGTGTATGTGTGTATGTGTGTATGTGTGTATGTGTGTATGTGTATGTATGTGTGTATGTGTGTATGTGTGTATGTGTGTATGTGTGTATGTGTGTATGTATGTATGTATGTATGTATGTATGTAGGTAGGTAGGTATGTATGTATGTATGTATATGTGTATATATATATATATATGGGAATGCTGGATCGATGTGAAATGTTGCTTCCTGAATTTCCAATTTCCACTATAGATGTATGTTTGCATAGCGTTTTTTCTCATAAAAATGGCACCAGTCGTGATCTCTGGCGACTTTGGCAACTGATCCAAACCACCAAAGTTGAGAAGTCTCGCAGCCATCACGCTCCATATGGGTTTGTCAATGGGATAGCCGCAAGATCCAATGGTTTATCGTCAATTTCTTTCTTTAAGATTGCTATTTGGGGGACCGAATTTTGAGACAAACCTATATGGTTCAGTGTTTAAACAGTTCATATGAGGTGGGGAATCTAGTCCAGAACTCACATGGAGTCACCAAACAAAGCAATTGCCTAGATGTTGAAAAGTTGAGTAAGTCTCATTCGGATGGCCCATTCTCAGGAAAAAGTGTTCAACACTATTTTGGTGATCCAAACTGTTCAAGCAAGAGAAAATGAAGTGAGTTCAAGTGTTGTTGTTTCTTCGGCATCCCCATCTCCAAAAGTATTCTATATCAATTGTCTTTGGGAAGAAGACTACTGCTTTGCAAGCCATGACTGAGGCCACCCGTCCTGGCAGCTCCGATCTAAGAGGATGTTGCCGGGCTTGAGATCGCGATGCATCACACCAGCAGAGTGGATGTACCTTGGAAAGGTGTGTTTTTCATTGTTTTTCTACAGTGTTTGACTGGTGTTCTATGTTTTTCTACAGTGCACCCCGCGCCAATGAACCAATGAGCACCAATTTGAGCACCAATGGAGCACCAATGAGCACAAATTCTGTGATGGAACAAGAAATGGCCAACCGAAGAGTTCAACCACACAAAAGATAGTTTCTTACAGGAAAATACCCAGGGTTTTGAGCCCGATTTTTGGGGGTCTTGAAGCTCTCCAATCATCACTTAGCGTCCCCATCATCCCGTTTTCCCGTTTTTCAATCGATGGGATTTTCAGTGTCCCCTGGCTATCCCCCTTGTTGCTCACTAGTGCGTTCTTTTAACCATTTTTCACTGTCACCGAGTCCTTACCATTCCTTCCCTGCCCCAATCTCACCCTAGAAGGCCCAAGTACTTCAAGGCCCGCAGAATCTGATGTGCGATCAATGGTTTGTGAACTTCGCCAAGGCAGTTGCACCTGGCTCACAGAAATCCGCTACAATTTGGCCAAAGTAAAGTGCAGATTCTTCACGATCATCCTCCCGTTTCTGGGTTTAAAAGGTTGAAAATATTGCCGAAATTATATGGAACCACCAACTGCCCATCTGCGCATTATTGTTGGTTCTGTATCCCGATTATTCTTGATTATGTATGGCCCGTTATTGTTGGTTCTTGCCCCATTGCCATCACTATTCTCCACCATTCACTGATTTTCCATAATGTGTATTGCTTAAATCCCATTAAATCCCAGTTCTGCTGCTTACATCTGATGGAAAATAACCCTTGTTTGTTCGTTCAATGGGCCCCAACACTCGGCCAGCAGCACTTGATGGCTTTGCAAAGGTCAGATTCCATGAGGTCAGTGATCTCGGTACGGGTCTCATTTTGGGGACAGTGGCTGCATTTGTTTCGGCAAACACTGAAATATATATATACATATACGTATATACATATGTACACATGTACATATGTACATATGTATATGTATATCTATACCCATATCTATATGTATATCTATATCTATATCTATATGTATATCTATATCTATATCTATATGTATATCTATATCTATATCTATACGTACATCTATATCTATATCTATATACATATATCTATATGTATATCTATATACATATATCTATATGTACATCTATATGTACATCTATATGTACATCTATATGTATATCTATATGTACATCTATATGGATATCTATGTGTATATCTATATGGATATCTATATGTATATCTATATGTATATCTATATGGATATCTATGTGTATATCTATATGTATATCTATATGTATATCTATATGTATATGTACATATGTGTATATGTGTACATATGTGTATATATGTACATATGTATATATGTATATATGTATATATGTATATATGTATATATTTATTTATGTATATATGTAAATTTGTATATGTGTATATGTGTACATATGTGTATATATGTACATATGTATATATGTATATATGTATATATGTATATATGTATATATGTATATATGTATATATGTATATATGTATATATGTATATGTATATGTATATATATATATGTGTATATGTATATGTGTATATGTATATTATATACATATGTATATGTATATACGTATATGTACATGTAAATATGTGTAATATATATATATATACATATATAATACTATATATTATATACATATTTATGTAGGTATATATGTATGTACGAATGTATAATATATAGAGATATATATATATATACATTTATATTATAAGGTTTCGGCTAGGCAGGGACCCACGCACGGCCACTGCTTTCCGTTGACCTGAGCGGTCTCCGCAATAGACCGCGGGCAGCTGTTTTTTGCACCTTTCAGCACTGCCTTTCTTGTGCTCTCACATCTTGGGCTGGTGTGATCACCTTCGCTTCTCTTCTTGGCCATCCTTGTCCCGGTCCACACCATCAAGGACTACGTGTACCTGGTGGTGTATGCCCTCTACCCTGTTGGTCTTCATTTTCTTCCTTTTGATCACTGTCGGTAAGGATTACTCCATCACAGCGTCGAGCGGGCCGAAGGGCACGAGCACGGGCGCGGCTCAGTTTCTACCTGCACAAGAAAGGTCTGTGCTTGTTAGACAACAACAATCTGCGCCGCCTGTGGACTACGTTGCAACATCATCACTCGCGAGACCCAGGTCTTCTTCGTCAAATTGCGGCAGCAATGTCTTCCCAGAAGAGACCTTCATGGAAATGTGCAGACTGCCGACGGCTCATCAAGGGCAACGACATGTATTGCCCTGCCTGTGGTCAACATTGGGAAGATTGTGCAGATACAGAGTATGTGGATCAAGCTGCGACGGGGCCTCAACGTGCGCAGACTCCGACCCGGCACACCTCCTACCGCAACTACGCTCCAGGAGGCACTCAGTGGGATGGATGGCATTATCACAATTCGTCAAGTGCAAGTCCGAGGAGACGGCAACAGAAGCCGAAGTCGCAGAAGCATCGACAAGGAGATGGCAAAGGAAACAGCGGCAAAGGCAAGGGCAAGGGCGGCAAGAATATGAGCCATGGAATGGGACAGGAAGGAATGGCACCACTTCCACCGCCACCAATGCCGCCGCCGACAGGCTCTGCAGACTCATGGATGCATTTTGCAACTTCATTCCCGGATTCTGGTGGACCAGTACAAGAAGCTCCCATGAACGCCCCTTCGCTAGCAGAGGCCAAGCTGAAGGAGGTCATGGGAATTCTCAAGAAGAACGAGATGGAGCTTCCTGCAGAGGTAGCTGCAGTCATGAAGGACACAAAGGCCCACGAAGGCATGCAGAAGATCCAGGGAATGCACGAGGCTGTGGAGAACCTCGGCAATGCACAGCAGAGACTAGAGCAAGTATGCTTTGCTCGTGCCCAGAATCTCGCCTCTTGGCGACAATTTCTTCACCTCTCTGTCCAGCGCTGGCAGGAATACACGCAGCGATTTCAGAGCCAGGAGAAGAACAATCTCGAACAGATTGCAAAGGCCAGAGACGATGTCAAAAATGCACAGGCAATCTTCCGCGAGTTGCAGGACCGAGGCGTCATCACCATCGAGGCGGAGGACGACCCGGCGATGAAGGACGACGTGCTCATGAACATGGAGAGCTCCAAGAAGATCGAAGATGGGCTCACACATCTCACAACCTCTCTTGGAGAATTTGCACAACAAGCAGATCTCGAGCATGCAGCAGCGGAGGAACAACAAAAGAAGCGACAACGCAAAGAAGAAAGTTTGGAGACCGTTCCCACAGGTTCCAAACCATTGGTATCACCATCTATGCAGCCTTTTGGTGTGGCTCACAGTGGATGACTCCTGAGTATCCCTGTGGACAGCCAGCCACCTCTCCACTTTTAGTGGACACTACTGTGAGCTGGATGCATTCGATCGTGTCGGAACGGGACTTCATGTCACCATGGGAAGCCTCTTCACGTGCTCTTGACCTCTCTTTTGAGCTTAGCACGTTGTCAGCTTTGGGGAGCTGTCACAATACCGCTGGCACCCATGCTTTTGATGCGACAAACCAGCGTGACCGAAAAACGGACAGTCGGTCCCTGAGTTTTTGCGATGCGGTTGAGGTCCTGATCGGCATCGACGATTGCTTGAAGATGGTATCCAATTTTGTGCAACACCGTGATCTCTGCCAAGCTAGTTCCAAACCATGGGGATGGTTCTACAGCGCTGACACTTGGCAGTATGATCCACAGAAAGACCAATATCAGCCTATCAAAATGAATAGGTCTGCCTTGGAACCGCAGTCGACCTCGGCCGTGTCGATCCGGCAGACCCAAGTTCCCTCACTGTTGCGGATCACGGATCAATGGCATCATCCTCTCCCTGATGAAGCACAACGACCAGGGCAAGCAGATGAAGAGCAGATGAAGAGCCAGATTCCGATCGGTGCACCTACTTTCATCCATGACCTTTTTGAATTGGCAGAGCGGCACAGAGTCTTCACAGACCTTGACCATGACGGTTCTATGCGCATTAGAACCTGGTATCTTCACCATCAAGATGCACGCTACTGCGAAGTTCCACGTTTTCTTGAATTCGAGGAGGACTGGAGGCGATGGGAAATTGACATTGGGCAGGCATGGAGAGACCACATCAGGCCGAATGAAGTCATCATGATTCACGTGGTGTTTCCTGACTCCTTCAGGGGCTACCTGAACAGGCCTGTCCATGCAGATGTGATCATATCGCAAGGTCAGTGGCTCAACCGCTTCTCGACTCTTTCGACGATCCATCACTATCATCGTCATCATCCTCCACACTCTTACGCTGTGGCATGCTCTCTTCCCCGCAGAATTGGAGGAATTGCTCTAGCTGACGCAGCAAGAGTACTGTACTGGTGCAATCTGCCGAGCATCAACTGCCGGACCAGCTATGAATGGCACGACATTCCATTCACTGTGGCGCCTACACATGAAGTGAGCCATGGGCATGCCTTCAACATCAACATCTTGGATGCGCTCCAAATCGACAGGACTGCAAGTGCCTCTGATGAGAGGCCACGCAAAAGGCAATTCCAAGAAATTGATGAGACTTCTCTTCTACATCAACCGCAAGAGGATGACATGATTGAGCCTGAGGAGGACGAAGCTGCTGCGCCAGATGTGCAGGACTACGACAGCAGCAGTCTTCACAGTGGAGACATCAGTCTGCTCATCTATCGACTCTCAGAGCCTGATGCACACAGCTTTGCGCCCAGCACAACATATGTCGCGATCCTTGAGGAGGCCATCAGAGCTTGCAGGACTAGGAGAAGAGACACACGATGCTTCCACTATGTTCACGCAACGCCCACTGGTGTACATTCAGAAGCAGAAGAAGTCATCATCCTGCAATCAATTTATGATGTTGCTCCGGGATCAGATGAGAAACTTGTGCTACTTGATCTTGAAATCCACTTTCATCCCCTCAGAGGAGGACTCTTGGTTCCAGCAGCAGCAAGTCGGAAAGTCATCAAAGTCAACCCGACACTCCATCGAGACCAACTGCTTCTTCTCACTGGCCTATTTGAATACTGTCGACTTCAGCATGATCGCTGCACCATCTTCAAAGACAATGAAATATGGGCAGCTCACGACATCAGGGCGCACACTATGGCCCACGGGATGTACCTCAAGATACAAGTTCCACCACCGCAAGACCCCACATTGGACACGGAAATTGCAATCGCAGTTGCCAGGGATCTTGCCAATGAAGACGAACCGGAGCGCAACGACATTGCTGCAATGTGTAGACAAAGAACTTCTGCACTCTCATTACGCCAACTGGGATCGACACTTCAACCAGATCAACCAGTCTGGGAGCAAAATGCTGATGTGATTGACAATGACAGACATTTACGCCCTACCAGAACAGCAATTCAGTTTCCTCAACGACAACTTGGTCGATTTGCAGAAGGGCATGAATGGAGGCTGACACGTTTATGCGAGAGCACCGACCTTATTGAATGCGAAGAGGAAGGGCGTATCATGTATATCACGGTGTGGTTCGTGCATCACAGACGACAAGTACGATGTGCAGAAGGAAGATCAGCTCGCCTGCATGAAGATCCTTCGACATGGCTTGAAGACATTGCTGACACGTGGAGAGAGTCATTAGACCCACACAGCGAGTTTGTCATTCATGTCGTCCAACCGACTCCACCATGCAGCCGCTTTGAATGTGTCCAAGCACACATCATCATTGAACAGTCTGAACGACAGTCCCACACCATTTGCCTGATCAGCAGCCTTGATGAAAGAAGAAGCACTGATGCATGGACACACAGCGCTTTCTCTACTTCAACACTTCAATCTGCAGCTGGCATCATACGACTCTTGGAGTTAACTACGATTTGTCGCCACATCTCCTGTAGCGTGACACTTCGGGATTTTCCCCTGTCAATTGTCGACTTCGAAGAGCTGGACCCTGCACTCAACATTGTCCTAAAGTTACGAGACACCACGGCGTGGATCATGGACTATGACACCACTGACCTGATGCAGCAAACCAAAATCAACCCAGTTCAGAATGCACTCGACATGACAGGTGGGGGCCAAGAATGTGAAGGCTACGCAACTGCGGCATTGAATCCGCTTGCTCCGCCGTTCCATCCCAATCGCCCAAATTTCTGGGACCAACCAGCTGACATTCAAGCACTACATGCTGTTTGGCAGACTGGTGCAACAGATTGGCAAGGAGATTCACCAGAAGCGACCTTTCTTGTGTGGTTTCTCTGCCCAGGAGGAGGAATACAACGATGCCTTACTGCGAGACGTACCACGCTACAAGATGATGTCTCTGTGTGGCGTGAAAGATTGATTTTCACCTGGAGAGATCAAGTTTTGACTGGATTTCCAGTTGAGATCCATGTAGTGCAACCAACTCCATTTTCTTTGGAATCTGGTATCACTGCACACATCATTCTCACACAGCTCTTCATGGACCAGAATTTTGGTGTTTTACTTTCGGTACAGGATAACGCAGTCAATGATGCGATGCCATTCAGAATTGCGGTGAATCTCCCAAATCCGGGCCAACTCTCACAGGTTCTTGACATCGCAGGCTATGCCAATGAACAAGCTGCATTCACTTTACGTTCAGGCACCCAAACTTTTGGACCCACTCAGCTGTTCCCAACCAGACACGGCAAAGGGCTTCACCTGCTTGTGTACCGTCAAAATCTTCCACAGGGATGGATGCCACCGGTTACACCAGCGGTACCTGGAGCTGAAGGTTTGGGCTTGCTTCAAACAAGAACGCAAATCACTAGAAGGGCCTCTGCGCGCCTAACACATGGGACGGTGGCTCAAGCCCATGGGCCAGAGGAACCCTGTACGCTTGAGCTCGACAAGCTCATCATCCAGGAGTCCGACCGATGTGCAGTCAGACTCATTTCTGGCCATGCCGAACTTTTGGTTCCCACATTCCTCGAAATTGAGAGCCCGCCGACGGAGCTCCGGATTGAACAAGAGCTACTACACTGGGGCATTGAGTGCAAGGCCATCCAATTTGGTACACATGACAAGTTCCTCTGCATCCAGCATAAGACTGAAGGCGTACACTATATGCTATGCAATGAGGACCTTGCTGACACTGATGGATGCATTTTGCACTCGCACGAATGCTCATTGGACACAATCGGGCTGATGGCACTCTTAGACAAGCTTGGATATGCAAGAGCTGTCGTCACTGGCATTGAGGATGTGGGACTGAATCACACACGAGTCATTTTCTGCAACAACGATCCCCAATTTGAAGTCCAAGCCAAGCCACAGAAAGTTCGCAGTGCATGGCCCTCTTGGCAAAATCCCACTTTTCCAATTGGCAATCTTTACCCGCACAGGGTACCAAACTCACCAAGTGCCACGCACTCTGTTGAGACTGATTTCAAGTATGAGGACGTGCTGGAACTCCTGACTGCGGGGACTGACTTTCTCAACACCAACTTCGACAACCTGAATTTGCCTGAGTTTGTACAAGAAGCAGTCTGCCAACCTTGCTCCGGCAAACACTATGACCGTTGGCTGATTTACACAGATGGTTCGTCACAGTCCAGCCTCAGACACACTGCACCACTACAAGCAGATGACATGGGCCATCCAGACTCCTGGGCGATGCTGGTGCTTGGGGAAACTCTCAATGCGGATGGAAGCTCCACGGTTGAACCTATAGGTTGGTGTGCGCATCCAGTCCACTACGACCCCAATGGCACCTGCTACACGCACGCCCAACGAATAGGAGCGGAAGTCGCTGAACGTGAAGCGCTCATTTGGGCGGGACTATGGCGCCTTACGCAGGACAGCACCATCCCGACCATTTTTTGCTGCGATTCATTGACATGCGGCAGTCAAGCATTTGGCCTCATTGGCGTTGGAGTTGTGGATGAATCGTACAGGCTTCTAAGGGGCATCTTTCAATGTCTTGAGCATGGACTACCCAGTGGCCACCTACGACTTCATCATGTACGATCTCATGCGGGTGACCCGTACAATGAGTTTGTTGACTGGGCGGCAAAGCAAGAAGCTACTGGGAGTTTCCACCACCGCCAGATGCCTTTAGACATGCAGAAGTGGAACAAGTTCCTGCCACATTTCTGGTTAATTTTTGGTCAACAAAGCGGTCTTCCTCGTTGGCAAGATGGACAACTGGTAACATGCAGCCCAGCCCTGCCGGTTGCGGTCTTGACAAAGCGATGTACGAAAAGAACCACAGCACAGACTGCCATTCGATGCACCATGAGCATTGCAACTGCAAATGTCCTTTCTTTGTCAAGAAACCCGGAGGGACAAAGAGGCAAGCTTCATTACCTTTTTGCACAA